TTCGCCAATAATCATAAATGACCCATTATCAAAAAATTCAAGGCGGTCCGTAAGTAATGGCTCATAATGGTAGTGGTGGCTTCGAAATATTACAATTTTATTCAACTTTCTTTAAAAAATATTGAAGATTAAATAGAACAGGATGTTAAATTTGCAATATTTTTTCTTTTTAATAATACTATAACAAGCTCTTTATAAATTGTTACCAAATTTGGCGGGCCGTTATTAATTTTGGCAAGGAATATGATTTTATATATAATTATTAATTCTAGTATAAGGGGTGCCACATGACCAATATGTGATGATGAAATAGTATTGAAATCATTTGTTTATATCTTGTTTATAATTTTATATATTAATTTATAATAATTTCGATTATACCGGGTGTTCAAATTAAAGTGTTACAGTTAAATACCTCCGAAAATATGCATTTTATAAAAAAAAGTTTCAGACAAAAGTTTTATAGTTTTTTGGGGGAAACATAATATGGCCTTATCGAGGTGGACTTTGTTTTTTAAATTGGAACCCCATTTTATTTTTACATATTCTTAAAGTACATAAAAAAATAAGAAACTTTTGAAGGAAATATTTTTTTTATTTTACTTTTACTTTTTGAGTACAGCTACTTGAAAATTTTGCTAGGCGAAAAAAAAGTTGGCCATATTATGGTTAGCTATAAAAACCGATTTTAGCCAAAATTCTTTCCTCACAAAACTATAAAACTTTTGTCTGAAACGTTTTTTTTTTTATAAAAGGCGGTATATAGCTGTAAAACTTTAATTTGAACACCCGGTATAACGATTATTGTCAGAATAATAAATAATAATTTTCATAATCTGTCAATAATAATATATTATTTGGAAACTAGGTTCTCGTATCACCACATAATGCTAATAGGTTATGGGCCTAGTTTAAGCTCATAAAATAATTTAGAGCTTTGGAAAAGCTTTCGATTCTCAAGTTCTCAGTTGCGAAATTAAATAGCCCAAAGCAAAGCCTGGACGCATGGTGCAGAAGTGACTATGAAGCACGTGCATTGATATATAAGATAAATTATTTAGTTTATATCACGAAGAGAGAATCTGCACTGGCGGCGTGGAATAGCCTAAAAGACTACCACATGACGTCAAAATTAAGTAATCAAGTCCCCATTATGCGGAAAATACAGGGTTGATATACAGAAGATAATACTTTTTTAACTGTGTATAAAATAAACAGCATTTTCAGAAAAAACTTAAAAATAAGAAATATTAATTTAATACAAAATGTATCCAATGTTGATCACATTCGTACCGTCGTAAGAACCATTCACAAAACAACTCTGCGGGTAAAATCTTCAAGTATATACATGCTGAACGTAAAATGGATACAATTGATTTTCCCGCAATGTCCACATTTTTCTGTGACTTACTCCCATCTGATCTGCAATCACCCGCGTACTTGTTGGATCTTCCTCAATAACATTTAAATGTGTTCTTCTAAATACACTTCATTTCCACTTTACCATACCGCACAATTTACATTCACTAATTCAGATAAACACACTACTGAAACCACCCTTGACTGAATTACAATAACCGGTAAACAATTAAAAAAAAAACCGACAAAAAAAGGATAAAAACATAAACATACTTATTATTTAGCGTAACTTTTCATACGTCAGTCCCTTCCCGGATTTAGATTTGTAATTTTGTATTATTTTGGAATTCACCCTGTATAAAGGTTTAAAGTTGGCAGAAAATGGCAATATGGGAGAACACATAGGAGATTTGACTATATTATTCGAGAAACTAGCTCTAATGAGAAAAATGGACCGTTTGGATAGTTTTAATGTAGTTTACCGGAGTAATAATAATACTCTCCCTAACTCTTCCCCTTACGAGTGAATTTTAACCCCAAAAGCTGAGCTTGTACGGGAAAGGGACAGTAATTATTTGCCGTGGCGCTCCTGGGCGACAAAGATGATTTATGGTGTCATTTGACTTACAGGCGAGGAAAATCCGGAAAAGCCCACCCATCATTGAAACGGTAACACATAATACGGCATTTATCAAATCCTATAACGAACATGCAAATGAATTAAAAATTCACATGGTCTACTGTAGGATTAGAAGCCGCATTGTCTTTCAACCTTGAGTCTTATGATACTTTGATCATAGCTTTAGAGTCCAGACCTGAAGGTACACTTAATTCTAAATACATTGAACGCTCTAAACAGTCTAAACGGTTCAATACTAAGGATAGGTTACAAGAAACTTTTCTGAATACTTTCTAATCATCTTAATCACCCGTTAATTCTGTAGAAAACATGAACCCTTAAAAAAATACTCATTCACCTGCCGGAACTATGTGGTTTAATGTACTACGAATGAAAAACATATTTTTAATAAATTTCTGTATTAATATTTTATGCACACTATATGCTTTCGAATATATAACGATTATTGTCAGAAGAATAAAAGTTGTTTTCATCCATATTTTATTCTGAGGTCTTTCATAAGTATTTGGAGAAAAGATATTAACACCACTACATAATACTAACAATTAGATAATTAAAAATTTGCAGCACTTTTTAGTAATTTCGGTTAAAAAATTATGTAAAATAAATCAAAAAATGTGAAATTATCACTACAAAAACTTATTTAATTTTGACACCCTGTAACTTTTTTATTATTTCATTGAAGCAAGTTGATTCAGATCGTAATATTTTAAAACAAAGAACCTTTATTAGTCTATGGATCATCAAATACAGATCATCCTATTTATAAATCGTCGCAGAAATAAAATATGAATCATCGTAAAATTTAAACAAAATATCCTCCCAAATGTCGTAATTAATTTTTAAATAAGTTAATAAAAGAAAAAATAAAAAAGCCTACCTATTACCGTATGCAGTCTCCGCCACTAAGCTAAATGTAGGGTTGGCAAAATAAAAAAATATATCGATTTATCGATTCATATGATATATTTTTAATGAACTGTACAAAAATACATTTTTTAATAGTTAAAATGTGTTTTGTTTATTCAGATAAGTAATAAAAGACACAATACAAAAATGTACATAGACGAACCAAACTTAAATATTTACATAAAAGTGTTTATGCTACATTATTTGAAAGCTTTCTGGAAAGAGAACTCAAAAATGATAAATTAGACAATCTCTTGCCAGATAAATGGTTTCAGCTTTTCGTTGGTGACGTACCATGTTTCGAAAAGAGTCTTTACTTTATTTTTATTAACCACTCTGGACACCGAAAATGAAACTAAAAATCTGCAGATTCATACAACAAACCAAACACAAAAATAAAACAAAGAGCTACACACACCCGCGTATGCCCTGACGTTTTGGTCACCAGGTCAATCAATGTCGCATGCGCGATAATGTTTTCGATCTATCGAGAAGATTATATCGATATTTTTTCGATATATAGATATATTTTTGTAATATATCGATATTTACAAAACATCGATAAATCGTTACCATCGCTAATAATATGGCAATGCAGTATAAGTTGAACCACACAGGTTAGTTCACTTTTCAAATGTAAAATTATTTATGTACATCTGCTATCTGATTTATTAAACCAAATTTAAGCATTGTAATTACATTTGAGATAAATGATCATAAGTATGATATCGTATTAAGCAACAATATGTATTTTAATAATTTGACTTGATAATTTGTATGATAAAAGGAATAATTCTTTTTTCAATATATGGCAACTCTGTTACACATTCGGACATTTTTCTACTGCCTATTTTTGACGATTTTAGTTTATACCCACACTGCTTATAAACCACAATAATTTATTTACACCAAATTTATAACATAGTTTTAGTGTCCTTTACTTTGTTGTGGGACCAAACCTCTAGTGTCTAAAACTCTCTTGCCTGGGAAGTTTTCATATAAAAAGTTGAGTTAGGACCACTTGAGCATTTTGATATTAAAGAAACCGAGTCATTACTATATAGGCCCCTTCACATATATGGAGATATTTTGTTATGTTTTTGAACCATATGCACGCTGCCAGTTTTATATTTACATAATTCATAACCATCGTCAACAAAATGCTACATTTCAACATTGTTGCCAAAAATAACAAAACAAAAAAATATATTTTACACCGATCGTCCTTTTATTTTAAATTGCATGTTGTATCAAATGAAATGATGCACACAAAACAAAATTTTAAAATGAGGCATGAATTTACTACACACTTTTGCTTGCACATGTTACACACTGATCTGTATGCAAAGAATAGTTTTAGATTTCTAATAATAATTATTATTAATAATAACGCTTTCTAACTTCACTAAATACTAGGCTTACTATATTTTAGTATCTAGCTTTAGTTTGTACTTTGTACACTGGTTTCATGTGTTGTTCTTTACGTACAGATGAAAGTACATTTTACATTGTTTGAATTTGATTATCTCTAGACCCGCTATGCCAATAAATACATTTTATCTATTATATTTGTTTATAAAACCACCAAATGTTATCTCATTAGATCGTAGCAAAGACGACAGATCTCTTTTTAAAATTATTTATAAAAACATCGAAGTCACTTTTTCAATTTTGCGGGTCTAGTGATGAAGTTCATGAAATATTTATTTTTATTGTCTAATAATTTTCTTACGAATTAATTAAATAATGAACAGATTAATTTCGTTATTTATACTCGGTTTAGAGATGAATTGATTTAAAAATATATGTATATTATAAGAAACAGATTTAAATTATATTTTTTTTAAACTAAAAATTCATTTCTGTTGATACATTTAGATTTTTAATCCAAATAAGCTCTCGAAAAAAAGTTATTTAATAAATAAGTATATTAAAATTTCAGACATTTTAAATATACAACAATTCATCTCTAACAATTTGTCAGATTTATCAATTATTAGATGCGATACAGTGAACATATTTTTTCATTAGAATTTAGTCTCTAGATAATTTTTATAGTTAGATTTAGAATGTAACTCTGAATGAATTGTAGAAGACTTCTATCAACAAGAACCACAATTTACGATCGTCACACAAGAGACAGTGGATCCTGTCACAGGAGCAAAGTAAGTATGATGAGAAGTTAAGAGCCAATTTAAGTCGGACATCTGATAATGTTTATTTTATTTATTTTTTTTTTCTTAACAAAAATGATTTTGAGATATGAAAAAGTATGTGCGAAATAAGTTCAACCAGGCCATAGTAATAATTTCTAAAATAAAAAAGATTTCTTAATTTGAAATATATTAATATATTTTATTATCTGTCAAACTAATTATTAATTTTTTTATTTAAACGGTTATATACAAAATATAAAATAAAGTATCTACTTAATCTAACTAAAATGACAAAAAAAACGCTCTAGATCTGAGTCTAGGGCGTGATAGACAGAGTTGTTTCTTAAATTCATTTTAATTACTTCTGAATATCCTGTATTTTTATTTCAATGAATGTAGCGGCTTTTGATTATTTGAACTCAAGCAGGGTATTTACATTAAAAAAAAAAACCGTAAGGAAATATTCAAAGAGTTCCTTAAATATTTAATTTGTTTTTTTTTTTAATATTTTGTTACAATTCCTTTATATTTAACGGCCTTTAAAAATATTGGCGGCCTATAAAAATATGTTCGTATTCGTTAATTTACTTCTGTCATTATTTAAACAGATTTCTTTATGATAGTCCTCTAATGTATTTTAAAGATCCGTTTAAATAATGACAGAAGTAGAAAATATTTTCATAAACAATTGATATTTATAAAATATGCGACAATTTACGGTAATTATATTTAAAATTATCTTCTTTAATAATCCCAATCTGAATAATACAATAGGTGGTGTATTATTATAAACTTTTAGATTGAAATTTTTTATAAATTATTAATCTTTATTCGTTTTTGGTATTTTTAGTACAACATTATCGAATCGATAATATATTATATACAAGGTATCCCATTCATTATTGCAAGAAAGTTCAATATCTCTCCTATCATAAGAAATATGAAAAAATATTTCTAAAATACTGTAAATGTACAGGATATTCCGTTATTTTAAAATGTTTGTAATCGTTTATTAAATATTGACTGGTACCAGAAGGTGGAACAGTGTTTCCGAAACATGTAGTGTCTGTGCTAAAATTTTATAAAAAAAAAATAAAAAATAGAAACAGCTTCAAATGTCGATATTTTTATATGACTCCCTATATATTTTTCACCATTGATTTCGGAGTAAAATTTTGCTATCAAAACTGTTTTTTTTGCCAATTTATGGCTGAAAATGTGAAAAAATTCTAAAAAATTGTTCTTGATAAGTACATATTATAAAACTTTTTATTTGCAGATTAGTTAAAATATTTTCCAAGTATAAAGAGTGTTATCTGAAACGTTTAAAAGAATAAAAGTTTATTTTTATCTACAGGGTGGGCAAATTTCGATATTTTAATAAAGAATCTCGTAAACTATAAATGGTATGGAAAAATGGTCCTTCCTTTTTTTGAGAAAAACTTAATGGCGTTTTCAAAAATTGGCTATTGTCTTTTGTTTTCGAATTATAAACAAAAGTTGTTTTTTTCAAATTTTCATTATGTGGCGTTATCTCGCTTATTTATGAAAGTGGAAGAAAATAATTTATACCTTCTTGAAGCACTTTTTTGATAAGAATCCAGTGGCGTACTCAATTTTTTTTTAATTTTTTAAATTCGAGTTATAGCATAATGTTTTATTTTTTTATATATTTTCAAAATAATCTATAATACTCTGTTGTTTTCTAGTAGGCTTGTGTCATTGAGAATATTTCTGACAGAAGTATCGGCATTTTTACAACACTGATCATTTAATAAAGTTTAATTGTTTATGATATCATCTTGAAAGTACAAAATAGCCTATGAAAATAGCGAAAAGTTTGAGATGTTAGAGTGTTTTATTCAAAGTAACAATAATTCTGAAGTTGTCACCAATGTTATTGGAATGGTAACTGCAAATCCTTCGATATCAAGTGGTCCAATTGAAACCGAGTCTGAGATATCACGAAAACGAGCATTATCAGTTTTACAAAAATACAAATTCAGACCCAATAGAATAAGGAAACAGCAACATCTCCAACCAACCGATTCCGAACAACATCTAAATTTTTGTAATTCGTACCTTGAAAACATAGACCGGAATCCATAATTCTTTACAAAAATTATATGGACAGATGAATCTTACATAAGCAGTGCCGGAATTTTCAATGGACATAACGAACATTGGTGGTCTGACGTTAACCCCCATCGTAACTTTGATGTCCAAAATCAGGGACGTTTCGATTTTAGTGTTTGGTGGGTCTTATTGGGCAATGGCATTTTAGCCTACCAAATTTATGTTGGAAAACTAAATGGCCAACGATATTTAGAAATTTTAAACGAACACATATTCGATGGTTTTTTGGACGACTTAACGCTGAATGAGAGACGAGATATATTTTTTCAACACGATGGGGCACCCCCTCAAAATACTAGAAACGTCTCTGAATTGTTAAATCTTCATTTTAGAGACAAATGAATAGGGACAAAAGGACCGGTAAGCACGTTCACCAGATTTAGCGCCCTTAGATTTCTTCTTTTGGGGGTATATTAAAAACAATTTATACAAAAATACTTCTAATAATATTGACGAACTAATGCAAAATGTTATACAGTGTGTTAATTCTATCTCCAATATCCATATTTATAAAACGCAATTCGGAATGTTTCCAAACGATATCGCTCATGTGTTGCGAATAATGGAAAATTTAGTCTAGATGATGAGTTTATATTTTTTAATGATGTTGAAATTGGTAGAACAGCATCGCCAATATTATAATTCTTTGACCCTGATTTGTTAAAAGTTCCATAATGTATGAGATTTTCTTTTAATTGTTTGAAAATAAAATTATTAGGTTATCTTCTTTCCGGGTAACGATTAAAACATAAATTCACTTTGAAACTTCAGAATTGTTATTACCTACTTTGAATAAAACATTCTTACAAATTAAATTTTTTATTTTTTTTCATAGACCATTTTGTTCTTTAAAAGTGGAGTCATAAACAATCAAATGTTGTTCAGTAGTTTAATAACATGCAATAACAGATACTTTGTCCTATAGGAAATATTCTAAACGACACAAGCCTACTAGAAAGCTACAGAGTATTATAGATGATTTTGAAAATAATGAGATTTTGCTAAATAACAATGAAAATGAATAAACTGACCCTACATTTTAAATATCGTTAGAATGGGACAATTTTTGTCTTTTTGTATACCACAGCCAACTATCAAAAATACAACTTTATCCTATAACCCGAATTTGAAGTATTTTTAAAAAATAACTATGCCACTGGAGTCTTATCAAAAAAGTGCTTGAAGAAGGTATACATTTTCTTCCACTTTCATAAATAAGCGAGATAATGCCACATAATGAAAATTTGAAAAAACTTTCGTTTATAACTCGAAAAAAGACAATAGCTAATTTTTGAAAATGCCATTAAGTTTTTCTCAAAAAAAGATATCCAGGATGGGAGGTTCATTTTTCCATACTATTTATAGTTAACGAGATTCTCTATTAAAACTTCGAAATTTGCCCACCCTGTACAAGGTGTCTAAAAGCTGTTAGCGGCTGTTTCTCAGAATATTTTAAAGCATTTTTTTTTTAAACTCGCAACAACAGAGCTATAGGTCGATTTTTATTCCAAGGGGGACACATTTCTAACACATCCTCAACTGTAATACGTCATTCCCTTCCCATCCGATACTTTAATCAATAAAATTTAAATAGGGAAAGTACCAATAATGACTCATAAATAATTTTGTAGGGAATTCAGAAATATGACTATCAATTGCGTTAATTTTGATTTTATTACTCTCTACACTCTAAGAGGGACAAAAAGCTGTTTCTTATTATAAAGTGTGACACTTTGTTTGAAATTGCATCAGTTATTTAATGCGTAGCATACATTTGTTATTTTGGTTGATTGTGATTAAAGCTTGTATTTCTTAAACTTAGAAAGCTGCAAGGCGCTAGAGGGCGCTAATTTAATGCTAAATTTCGCATATTATTTTTTCGATGTGTCGCACCCTATTAAATTGTATTTGTTGGAAATACAGTGGGAAGGGGAATGACGTAGGACAGTTGAAGATATGATAGAGAGGTTTCTCCTTTGGAATCCAAATTGACCTGTATAGCAGCGTTTGCTTCAACAAAAAATCTTCAAGATATTCTGAGATACGGCCGCTTAATCAGACTCCATGTGCAGGTGATTTTTTGCAGAGCATCAACTTGCTATTCTTTAAACAACTAAAACTTCGTTTTTTCAAACTGAATACCCAGTATATTATTTCACAGTCCCTAAAAGTGATAGTTTTTAATAAATTTTTATTTAAATTGAAAATACTAGAGATAGGATAAATAATACTGGATTTCCTCGCAATCAAGGGCTACCCTCTATATTTAGATAGATAGCTGTAGTACTTATTTTCATATTATAGTTTAGATATTTTATAGAATCAATAATATGTTGTAAATAAAATATATCTATAGTTAAGATTCCCAAGTTAATTTAAAAGATTCATGCGATATTAAAATATCCAAACTAATTTACAGGGTTACAAGAACAGTCAAAACTGCAACGCAAGTCATCAGCTCTCCATCAAACCAAACTGAAACCGACTTAAGGCACAACATACAAAGTGTCTTGGATCAATTTATGGCAGAGGAGCGGAATCCTCATTAAAAATATGTTTTTCTGATTATCGCGACAATATAATTGTTACTTAAGATAAACTTTTAATCCAGTGAAGAAGTTTTCGAAAATAACTACTTAGTACCGTGGTTCATTCCACAAATATGACATGTAAGAACGAGTGGGGGTTATTTTTGACTCGCTTATTAAAAAATGTCACTTCAGTATCTTATATATAAAAAATTGTTATAGAAGTCTATATTTGTGACTTTATTACACTATCTTACAGAAAAACAATCTTGAGCCAGTAGAGCGTTATTTATTAATTTAAAATCTGATTCAAATCACTTTTAACTTTATGAAATTATTTTATGATACCTACGTGACTTCGAAAATTTCTAATTTTTATTTTTTTTATTTCATGTAATTATGGTCAGAATATGTGGAAATTTAAAGAAAATTATTAAATATATTTGACGAACATCTTAAAATGAAAAAAGTGTTGGGTATAGATTTTTGAATGATGAAAATAATACCATAACCTTAAATGCAACAAAATGATAATAATTTAGCTCATTTTCGTAATGTTTACTTATACACTTTTTAATATGTTTCTGTGTTAGATATATATTATATATATTTTTATATATTATATATGTTTTATTAAAAAAAACTATACCATAACTAAAATTTTAATTACAAAATTTTGTTGGTTCAAGAGATTTTTTTTTCTGTAAGCTAGAGTTATAAACCACATATTGTATATCCCAGTTCGCTATTATATTTTAACGTCAATTTTGCATTGTTGAATTTTGAATTTATATTAAATATAGGTTTTATTGCCCTGTTGGAGATGATGGTTCAAACTTAATTTTATTTTTTTAATTGAAATCAAAAATTTTTATATGACCAATTGCAAAGTTGTGAGATTTTTAAATGTTTATTGTATAGCAAGTTAATCGAGAATAATTTTAGATATATTGTATATTTTACTATTTAAAAACATTTGAATTTCTAAAGTTATTTATAGGCAAAATATAATACTCATCACCGATGCATGAGTACATTTTATTTTATAGTCATTAAGCGGGAAGAACGTTGTATTACTTATATCGATGATGAGTTTTGTATTTTGTGGGTTTCAGCTTCAAATAGGCAACAATTCCATTATGAGAAAAGTAATTTTTAGCAATTACATATATAGCGTCTAGAATATGGTTTTTACTTAAACAATAAATTTAGGTGAAATAATTGTCTTTTCATTATCGATTTATACTATATAGGTGCAGCATTATACATATTATTTAAATTCAAGGGTACTAAAATTTCCGTCAGCACTAGGTGTGAAAGTTTTATTATATAGATTTTAATATATATTAAACAATTATGCTTTAAATGAAATTATTGTAGAGACAAAACTGTTCTGTAATATATTTTTTTGGATTTAAGTTTTTTTTTTTAATTTTATCCACACCCTAGCTTTTATTTTCCTGTAGACATTACAGAGTATATTATTCGTTAGGTGCATAAATATAAATTAAAGTTATCTTAACTAAATGAGAAGTATAAAACAACAGATGACAATAGATTCTATCCAATTTTGGTCTTATTTAAACTCGAAAAAAACAAGACACTAAAATTTCTAACCCTATGATAATTAATCGATAAATCCTGAAGAGATTTTTAATTCATTTGCCATATATTTTCAATCTGGTTTCTAAAAATCTTCAGCTCCAGATTTTAATAAATCTGTCTCTGATATTAATTGTCGCCAGAGATAACGAGGAGATGTAACTACTAACAAATATCGTGCGGTCCTGAATAACACATATTCTAAGGGACACAGGAGGGTATAATATCCGCTGTTGTGATATGCCTATTTCATTATTCTCGTTTTGTTTAGAAAATTATTTACATATATTAAAAAAGCTAAAATAATTCAGCCTATTTTATTGCAACTGAACACAAAAATTTTTGAATCATTAGTTATATTAAATTTAACTAAATTAGATATAATTTCACTAAATTGGATGTAATAATTTTAAATAAATTCCAAAACCTAATCATGTTAGGTTGGAAGTGGCAACAGCGCTTACACCGGCATGGATATTTACGTTGTTTATTATAAGCGCACAGCGGCTTACACATTTATTAATTGATAAAAATAAGTTGTATCTGCGTAAAATTATTCTCTTCATCCCTTTTCTTACTTCTCACCTTTCGTCTCCTCGTCCCGTCTCTACAAATAGAGTGTATCGATTGTCGAATTAATCTTGGCATCGTGAATATTATATTTTATCAATGAATGGTTATATATCTGATTGTCGCTCATGTAGTATTCCCACCTTTTCCAAATCCCAAGTCTTAAGGCTCTTAAAAAATAACCAAAATGACAACTGACACTGGTTTACCTGAATTTTTATTAAAAGACCGACTGTGCATCTGTTCTGGCCAAACGTTTCCCAGACAACACACCAAATCCCAGAGATATCCGCAGAATATCTTTTGTGGATATCCAATATATCCACAGGATATCAGAAATATTCCGTGGATCTAATATGGATATCCAAATGTCCGTCTATATCCAGGATATAGATATTCAGCAAAATATCTAATGGGTATCTTCCAGAAAATACAAGAAATCACAGAGATATCCACAGAATATATTTTGTGGATATTCAATATATCCAATATGGATATCCAACCAAATGTCCGTCTATATCCCAGGATATAGAAGATATTCGGATATTCAGCAAAATATTTTATGGGTATCTTTAGTAGAGGTTCATAAGTAATCAATGATTATTGAATAACGTCGAAAGAAAATAGCAGAGATAAAAAATATTTTCAACACTCTGCCTTTGATTTTGCCCACGTTGGGCGCCAATGTGTTACCTTTTTCTAGATTTCTATGTTGTTAATTATTTAATAAGTAATTTAGCTCAAATTGTTGACATGTGTGGATTCAAAAAATTGACCAGGAGAAATAAAATTAGAGTAGCTTGACCTGTTCGCAGGCCAAGATCTACTTTAAGATAAAATGAAAGATATTAAAGTAAAGCAATGACAAAAAAAGTTGAGCGCCACCAAGTTTTTCAGTAACTTGGAAAACTTCTGATTTTAAATGTCCTGTTTAATTGAGTCTGTCTCTGGTACTTAAAGTTATCTGTAAGAGTTGTGGCAAATAAAAGAAACTGAGAAAATTTAATACATTTATTAAAAAAGTGAAAGATTACTTTTACAAATTAAATAGTGAATGAGTTGAATGAATGAGTGATAAAATTTACTGACGATACTGATAGATGGTGGTATTTTGGTACGTATATACGGTACTTTCCTTTTTATAGCTAGAGGCAACTAAGAGCTTCCTGGAGGACTTTGGAGCTTCTTAATACGTTTTAGAGCTTCTTCTTAGAGACGGTCCTTGGAGGTAGAGTACTCTTCTTGGAGACAGTACTTCTTCTTTGAGACGGTAAAGACAGTACTTAGAGGTAGAGTAGCCTCTTCTTGTTGGAGACAATATTTGAAGGTATAGAGTATTCTTCTTGGATACTTGGAGTACTTCTTGGATACTGTGAGGAGTACTTCTTGGATACTGGGAGGAGTACTTCTTGGATACTGGGAGGAGTACTTCTTGGAGACTGGGAGGAGCCACTGACAATTATCCCAACGTTCACACTTAATAAACACAAATTAAAGGATTAAGGAAAACTATTCATAGTAGGCACATTTATCGGTACATCCGACACATTGAGCTCGAGACATCAGAAAGAGCGATTGATTCCAAGCGAATCGGTTTTGTGACCACTAGATTTCGCGCGCAAACGGTGCTTTGTGTAAAAATCGATAATGGTATTAATGCTAGGGCCGGAGTCATAGATTGTGTTACGAGGGGTTATGGAGAAGTTGTTGTTAAAAATAAATTTGAAATTGATTAAAAATTAATTTCACATAACATCATCCTTAATAGGACTCTTCAGCAATAAATGAAAATTCTCGACTCCAGTCTCTAATGGAGTGATTAGGACACATTTCGATCGAACTCAATTACGGCGGGTCGAGCATGAGTAGATGCGATAGTGGTATCGCCATCTATACTTAGTAAGCAGAATCAAATAACATCTAGTGGATATCCACGATGGTTTGCGTTCGCGCCTAGACTTTGATATATTTAGTGGATGTTAGTGGGATAATGAATACACCTTAAAAAATTAATTTTAAATATCTGAACGGTACTATTAGCCACAATAACGAGCACAATGGCGTAATTTTTTAATAATTTGCTATATAATTACTATTATTTATGGACATTTGCATGTCTATAAATTACATTTCATGGATATAAAATAGATATCTACCATGGACTGGACATTCAGTGGATATTGGGATGTTCAGTAGATATCCAAAGGATTTGGTGTGCTGTCTGGGTTGTTTCCTTTACAAATGTTTAAATTTCATAATATACATTCCTTAATTTAAACATAGCATTCCCAGACCGGCCCTGGTCTCAAGAAACACCTGCGTCCAAAGCCCACACTCTTCTATCCCTTGAGTAGCAACTGCTCTCTCTCTCTCTCCAACACAATAAAATCCAACATTTATTTATTTAATGCAGTCACGTATGCAAAACTCTCCTAGTAACTGCCGAAAATATTCTAGTACATCGCCATCTGATAAATAACAATACCCTTATCGCTTAAACCTAATGGAACTAAAAATATTTCATGACATATAAGATTTGCGCCAACTAGACGCATTATAGAATCAGGTGTTGAACCCTGGCGAAGCATTTCTCCAGAACAACCTGCATTGTCAGTTTCTTCGAGTCGCTTTCTGATCTCCAAAGCATCAACTTCGTTTGGATCGTTCCCCCCTCGAGTCCTCTCTTGACTTCTGACCAAGCCACATCGACTTGTCATGCTCACCCTATCGTCATGTCAGATGTGAGCAAATTCTTATAATTTATCATCTCGTTCGCCAATAATAATAGCATGAAGCAATATGTTTCCATATCTTCTCCTTTACATTTAGTGTAAACCTTCCAGTTAGTACAGAAGTACTTTTCATCAGTGTATCATTTTTCTGGACAAGGTGTATTATAAATGATCTATACAGTTCCACCTTAGCCGATGAATATTTACAGGGAGCGAAATACCCAACGTAAACAACAAATTATCAATAAAATTGGGCCATTTTCCTAATTATGTAAAAATTTGGACACATATGTCCCATTTTTGAAAACGGATACAAAAGTTAAGTTGAAAACTATCTGCTCAAATTTTGTCACACGAAGCAATGTACAGGTTAGGAAAAAAGTAAACGAGCCATAGAATATGTAGTTACGCCCATTTCTATAAATTATAGACTGCAATCTACTATTTGTAACACGTCTGAGAGCATTGTAATCGAATCGGTGAACATGTACTATATTTAGTTCATTTGCTGCTCGGCTCTTGCAGGTAAGCCATTTGGTTTGAAAATACTGTAGGTGTTCATACAATTTTATTTTTAAAATTCCGCTCTTGCTTTACACTAAAGAGGAAAAGAACCTATTTTAATAGTACTTTGGGGGTAATTCCGTGGACAAAGTGTAAATTATTTTTTATTTTTTTTATGTCTGAATTGTATTTTTATTTAAATCCATCCTTTAAGAAATATTGAAAAAAAAATCTTTCATTTGGAATCTTATTAAAAAAAAACTAATTGAATCGCCATTGGGAACCACAATTTCAAACGTTCTTATACAGGTATGGAAATCTAAATGTGGATCATCTATTTTACAATGAATTGATTGGACAAGAATAGGCTCATGAGTGAAACAAAGACCGCAGTTCAGAGCGGAGCGTCTAGCGCACGATACATACTTTTACCTCACTCTCTCTTACACTTGTCTCTAATAGATTTGGCTTAGATGGGCCATATTTAAATTTCCGTGCCTGTGTTTTGGCTTCAAACCAAGTTTATGTTAAACAGCACTTGTTACTTGCTTATTTGTGTATTCGAAGAGAAAATAGCATTTCAGGTGTTCTGTGTCAGCACCACGAAATGTAATTTATCTTAAATCAGCAATATAGTTTATTGTAAAATAGGAATGCACACACTTATGTAACAATATGCTTGGACCGGCGAGTATAATACCTGTTCTTCGTTGTAAACCTGAACAAGAGAGTGGTAGGTACTTAAAGATACTTTTGTAGTTATTCGAAGAATTTTTTAAATTTATTGGCAGGCGAGGTATAAATAAAAATCAAAATCCAAAAAGATGTGTATAGTAATAAGTCAGAAAAAGTACATCATTTATTACAATATATCAATATAAAATTTTTCTACAATATTGAAAACGTAACAAAAAAAAAAGAAAATACTTCGGTCTCCAAAACCATTTGAAGCAAATGTAAGATGTACACAACACATAATTAAACAGTAATTATCATTTACCCCCTCCGAATCCGCCCATTAAATTGCCCAGACCGCCCAACCCGCCGGCCGCGCCTGCCTGAAGTTGCCTCATCATATTTTGTAACCCAGCCATTCCACCCATCTGTTGAAGTACCCTGGGATCCATCATCTTCGCCATTTGTTGGTTCAGTTTGGCCATTTGGTTGTGGTTAACGTTTTTAGCCATGTCTCCACCTTTGAAAAGACCTTTTATGCCGCCCATTTTTTTTACCACTGCAGCAAATTTTGTATATTGTGTGATAAGATCCTTCACTTCTCTTTCTAAAATATTTATTTATTCATATAGCAATTAAAATAATACATAAAACAAATCCTCTTTGAGGTACTTCAGAATTAGTGTAAGATATATTTTAATAATTTGTTAAGGTAAGTAAAAGTAATTTCACTAACCTGTGACCCCAGAGCCTTGAGAAACTCTTATTACTCTGCCATTTTGTTTTGTGAATAATTTAGCTCCATCCCTATTATCTAATTCATAATCATTCATACTATCCATTATTGTCATCAATCTTTTTAACCTAGCCATTGATTCTTGTTCACTGCCTTTGGACATGAAGTCTTGGCTAAATCCTGGAATCATACCCTAAAAGTACAACAATATTATATAGGTAACATTATTAAAAACATGAAAGAGAATAAATAAACTATACAATATGTTAACTTTTTCATTCTGACCCCAGAAGAACAGTATAGAAACACATGGTTAAACCAATCTCTTTGCATTGGTTAATGTACTATATATTTTTATCATGGGATTTTTTGGCTGAATAAAGTTCAAGTTGCATTGAACTTACCATAATTTGTGAAAAAGGACCCATTTTCATAATATTCTGGAATTGCTCATACATATCTCTGAGGGTAAATTGTCCATGTTTAATTTTTTCTAACAATTCTTCATTATCTTCTAATTTTAATTCATTAACTTTATCAATTAAACCTTCTATGTCACCCATTCCCAATAATTTACTAATAAAAGGCTTTGTTTTAAATGGTTCTAAATCATCTATGTGTTCTCCTGTACCAATGAAAATTATAGGACTGCTTGTTGCTGCAACACTAAAACAAGCAAATAAGATATTATGTTTCTTTTTTTGTTAACCTTGTAAAAGGGATTAGCCGAGGAGTTAGCCCCATGATCAGGGTATCCTAACTAAATAATAACCTAGGAAGATCATAAATATAAATTAGTTCACTTACGCACTAAGTGCACCACCTCCTTTTGCATGCCCATCCAATTTTGTGATAATTACAGAACCAACATCTACTTTTTCTTTAAATGCTTTAGCTTGAGACTCACAAGCTTGACCAATGGTGGCATCCATGACGAAAACAATGTTATCAGGTTTCTTAAAAATATATACATTATTATACTTTCCATTTATACCTTTAACATATAAAAATATCTAAGCATATTTACTTACCACAGCATTTGAAACTGCCAACATTTCTTCAAACAAAGATTCCTCTTGTTTGTGCCTACCACTAGTATCAACAATAATAATTTCAAAACCTTCTTTTTTAAACATGTCGACTCCATCTTGTGCTATAACTACAGGGTCTACTTCTGTGTAACTGCAAAAAATATATAAATCATTATTTCATCATCTCTAGATATTTAGATTTTTAAATACCTTCCATAAAAGGGTATCCTAGCCTTGGTACAATTTTGTTTAACCTGATCATATGCTCCAGCTCTGAAGGTATCTGCACAGACTAAACATGACTTCCAGTTCTTTTTTTGATAATAATAGGCTAATTTAGTGCATGTAGTTGTTTTACCAGAACCTTGAAGACCAACAAACATTATTATATTTGGTTTTCCCTTAATGGGTTGGTGTGGTTTTACATTGGGGTCTACAAGCTAAAAAGAAAATTTGGTAGGTATTAATTCTAGGCAGAAATAGAGCAACTCAGGACATGTTATAATTAAAAATAAATAGATTTCGTATTACCTTCACAAGTTCTTTAAACACTGCGCTTTGAATCATCCGCCTCTTGTTAAGGCCACCAGCCATTTCATCAAAGTCAATAACTGATTTAACATTTTCTCTAAGCGATTTAACCAACTTAATATTAACATCAGCTTCAATTAGAGCACGACATATATCATTTAGCATTCCATTTAAAACCTAAAAATTTAAAATTGTTTAGAAATTATAGTAAACACATTGTCCATCTGGGGCAACATACCTCTTCATTGATAATAGTTGCCTTGCTAAGGGACTGCAAAGCAGTCGTAATTTTACGACCTAAATCTGCTAAAACCATCTTTATACAATATTTCTACCGTCTAAAATATTAAATAAGAAATTTCATTTCTTTTTTAAAAAAATTGATATGACAATATTTGACATTAGAGCAATAATACAAAAAAAGAGGTTATAAAAATTGACATTATATTTGACGTTTTTGTTTCGTTGGCAGTCTTCTTTACTTGTCTCAGCCACAGACATCGATGAAGGTCTCAGCCACTATCCAAATCTCTGGTCTCGGCCACTATCCAAATCTGTGTCTCAGCCTATGTGGGTTTTAACTTTGAGTGAACAAACAATCTGAAAAGTTCAGAGGAAAACGATGCTAGTTTTAGTTAAATTCACATTTTTGTTGTTTATGTGCATGAATTCTTAATTATTCGATTTTAAATTTTATCATGTTATCATTGTAAATTCGAAAAATACAAGCTGTTTTATTGCTTGACCGTTATAAGACCTGTTATATTATAGGTATATAGTGTCCACTTCATATTCAATCAGCTTTATCGACCATGTAAAATAAATAATAAATACAGGCCTTATTATTTAAAAACAATAAAAACACCCATAAATAATGTTGTTGCCAGGTAGCCACTGTAGTTCAGGCCAGAAATTTAAAGTTGAAGAAGTCAATGTTTAAAAATGTCAAGTGAATGTCAAAACTTCATAACAAAAATAGTCTACATATGGAGAAATTTCACAAAAGGTCAGATTTATAATAATCATTCTTCGAATTTAGAACTTAGTGATGTAATAAACCAAAATTGAAAATAGATAAAAGGTTTGTTAAATGGCCGTTGTTGACATAACAGCAAAAATAAAGAGTTTGGAATTTTTTAGATGCTTCAAAATAGATGTCGTCATTCTAGTGTATTACCACATGAAATATGTTCATTCTGCAATACGACAACACCTGAAACTCTTTTAGATATCTGTTTTGATTATATTAACAAACATCCTGAAACAATATGCAACCCAGGTTTTTCTTCAGAAGAAGACTTACAATTATTGGATGGGTTGTCCCTACCAGTGGAAATTTGTGAACGTTTATTAAATGTTCGGAATAATAGCCTAACGCCAGTCGATTCAAATTTTATTAACCTTTTTAGAAATACTGACTGTACTAGATTAAAACGTGTTAAATTAAGAAGACAATCTGAAATAAAAGACCAAGATTTAGAAATACTCTTAAAACATAATTTGGTTGAATTAGATTTATCATTATGTCCAAATTTGACTCCAACCTGTATTCATCATATAACAGAAAACAGTTCAAATTTATTATTTCTGAGTGTAGGTGAAGATACAGACATTTTCCCTGTTAGGATGTTTGGTAAATCCCCTATTGGTCAAGAATTATATGACAAAGGTTATATATTCTATGCTCCAAATCTTCGAAAGCTAACTCTTAAAGGTTTACATTTATTGCAATCTGATTTTTATATGATTTTGTTGTACCCTTTATCCAATTTGACTCACTTAGATCTGTCAAACTGTAATGATTTACATGATTTTTCTTATACCCAACATCTAATTAACTTAACCTCTCTAATATTATATAATGTTCATGGTATTGAACTAATGATACCTGCTATTTGTAAATTAACAAATTTAAAGCATTTAGACGTATCTCAGTCAAAAGATGACCAGGGTAAATATGAAAAAGGTGACAAAATACTTAGTTCTATAGTAGAATGCCTCCCCAAATTGACTTCCTTGGATATTTCTGGTACAAATTTGGCTGGCAGAGGTGTAGCTGAAACATTGAATGGGTCTGTTTGTGACATACCAGGCTTAAGTTCAAGAGCAAATAACCCATTTCAATATCTGGGACTTTATGAGACTTCCCATGATGCTTGTTTAAGACATGATATACCTGCAAAATTGGTTCGTACTATTTTTTTTTTTAAATATTTATTTAGTGTTTACGTTAAAGTCTCATTTGTAGATTGTTTTAAGAATACTTTAAGGGAGAACTTTATTTTTTTTAACAACTCTATCATTTCTACATAATTGGCAATATATAATTAATTCTACACTTTTCATATACTTGTCTATTAATTTATTTTTAAATTAGAAAATACCTAAATCTGGTGTTTGATTGATAGTGTTAAAACTATTTTGTACTTGTTTTAAATATGACTTGCAAAATGGGAATTTTATTTTAGATAATTTTTTTTGTTAATGACATCAAGTAAATTCTTAAAATTTACATTTTTTCAATTCATGAATTTTTGAATAAAAAATATAAATTGCTTAATGAGATCAGATTGGAATTTGAATTTCTAATACTATAAGTATGCAAAATTTTATTTTAAATATATACATTTCACTAATCAAATTCCATTTTGCTACATTTGATATGAAGTGACACATAAAACCACCAAATTTATCTATTCAATATATTTTTAATGTAATTAATTATAAGGTGTTTTTTTTAATATAATTTAGGAGTTTCTGTTTTATTTAGATCGGAGGAAATGCTAATGAAGAACAAATACTAGTAGCTGCTTTGGCATATTTGGATAGGACAGATATGTTACAAAAAGTTATGAATGAATTGTTTCATTTATTTAGACTAGAAAATATCGAATACCTGGGACAAGCTTTAAATATAGTTTTAGAAGCAATGAGTAGACATTTACATGAAAGACATATACAAATTTCTGGAAGGTAATCAACAATACTGAAAAAACCTGAAACAAATTTGAAATTTCCTCTAAAACGTATATATGTGTGTTGTTTTTGGTACATAGGAAGCTTTTTATTTTCAGTGCAACACTGTTTTATATTGTAAAAGGCACTGGCCCAGAGCTACATGATGATGTTAGAGTAAAAAGAAAAATAATTACAACGCTTCTAAATGGTATGAGTGTTCACAAGAATGATGATACCATGATGAGGAATGGATGCTTGACTCTTTGTCAATTTAGAATACCACAAGATGTGGTAAGTCTAACTGCTACTTTTGCACAAATATAAATGTTTTGTTTGGAAAAGTGTCCTTGAATTTAAACAATTTGGTATAAACCACTATTTCATCATTAAGTTAATATTTCTTATCAAATTTCAACAGGAAATAAAATGTACAAATTGGATTAGATTAACAAATAATAACTGACTATAATAGTCAAAAATTTTTATTGGTCCATTTTAAACTTTACCACTTATAAAGTACTTTAGCAAAATTTTGCCATTCAAATATCACTGTCCTGTGGCGTCTACTAATAAATCCAGAGACTTTAAATTTTGTTGCAAATGTCTACTGTTTCCTATTAATCCCATATCTGTATGTACTTACTGTAAGAAGAGTGAAATAGAAAAATAATTAGATGTGTTCTTTATTTTTATCAATTATGGATAATGCATAGAGTGTTGTTGCAACAGAATAAAAAGGGTAACGTTGATTAAAATTTACTGATATTTAAAAAAAAATGTAGTTGGCGATGTGTATTTTAAATAAATAATAGAAAAAAGTGTCATAATTTAACCACGTATTTAGCACATCAAAACAAACAACTTTCGTCAAATACAAATTTTAAAAATTTACCATTTTTGTTTAATATTTGTAAACCCTAAAATAACCCTAACGAACTGTCTGTGATAAAAGAAATAATTAAAATTAAATCCAGCAAAGTTTTTAATACATGATTCACAATGTTACACATTTTTAGTGAACAGTTGGATATATTTAATTGCAGTGTTAAAAACATAAAAACACATTGTTTAAAATAATTTAGAATTTATTTACTGTAATTTTAGATTAATTATCTATATGCTTTTTGTTAAACTGTTTTCTTTCAAATGTACTCCTGTTCTGTAATTGGGTTTAACCTGTTGAACAATGTATAAATAAATAAATAAATTTTTTGCTACAGGTCAAATGGAATACCCCCGATGATTATTTTTAATTTTAGTTGTGTATATATCAATTAATAGCTTGCGGTTCGATTTATTTTGCTTTTTAAAATGCCGATTTTTACCAATAGTGAATATACTGACATGGTGTTGGTTTCGAACGAGTAAAAACAAATTTTCATAGGCGTGTTCAATTATGCTTAGAATATAAAGGAGGACATTTTGAACATTTGTTATAAACTTGTGAAATAATTTGGGCATTTTTTAAAATAAGGCTATTAAAGATTTTTTTGATAAGTCAAAAATTCTTTATTTCTTGATGTGCAAACATTAACAAAACATTGTTTACATTTAGTTTTATAACAGAACCAAATTTTATAGCACATAATATACCATCACAGTGAAAATAATCTGGACCAGTAAACTGTATTTTAATCTAATTAACAAAATTAATCTGAAAAATAAGACAGTGTATTAATTACGCTTGGTATTATGAAATCTAGAAAGGTGAAGTTTTGTAACCAAGGCTACCACTAAAAAGTTAGGTATCGCACTTTTCAACCTTCATGACAACAATGTAAACCTTTTCTAATTAAATTTTATAATTCTTCTTTAAAAAGCTACATTAAACCAAATTGTTGCTGTCCCAGATTATTTTCGCTGTGATAGTAGCTTAACCTGATGCCTTGTGCATTTTTTGTTTATCTAATATTTACTTATTCATACTTCTCGATTGATTTCAGTGGCGGGTAACTAAAACAAATTCTATTTTTTGAAGAAAAAAAAAATCTTGAATACTAGGGCGATTAGAAATAAACTTATTTGACAAAAGTCGTTTATTTCGATGTGCTAAATACGTGGTTAAAATTATGGCACTTTTTTCTGGGTAACAAAATTACCAATCTATTATTTTTTTACTTGGATAGACGATTAGTTTTTATAAATTAAATGGCAAAACAAATTTTTAGATGTATGTAATTATAGATATTAGTATATTTGCCTGCAGTAAAATTGGTTACAAAACTAAACAGAACATCCAAATACGAATTTACACCAACCTACCAAGGTATTAAACTGTATAATCACCTCGCATGTAAATTCGAAACCTTGAATAATCTTTAATTTAAAAATACAATTATAAAAGAGGGATTGAGCAAATGCTACTACAGTGTAGAATGTCTGCAAGACACAACTACTTAATCGTTTGTCTTACTATTGTTCATAAGATGTATGTATTTTTATTTATTTTTTAATTTCACTGTTGTTTTAAGTGATTTTACATTTTTTAATTTTAAACTTTGTACACCTGACTTGTTCTATTACATTTTATAATATCTAACAGAATGAATAAATAATATTATTATTATTATTATTATTATTAACCCCTTGATTGCATTAAGCATTTGCAACATCATTATTATCTCTAATAAACAAAGTGACTGAAACTTCATGTCAGTTTGAAACTAAAATTAATTCATGTAATTATTTATACACTTCTATTTCTAAATCTTTTGTAAGTATTGAACATGAATCCCACATTCCTTAAAGATGATTTAGCTGATTCAAAAACGTCCACAAAAGTCAAATAAGACAACTAGAACAAAAATTCAAACCACTGAAATTATCTACACATTATGAGAAGAAAACACAAATGTTTTAAAAAATTGTTCACCTTTGGGGTGTAATTTTTGACACCTTTGTATGTTATGTTGGGAATGGAGTGTTAATACACTGCGACCTAAAACATCTATTGTGTCCCCTTCTGTTGCTAATGCAGCAAGGACATGTCACATTGCATATAACGATCCTTCCAATCCTATCTTCTCAAGGAAGTATAGAATTTGGAGTGGCTTCAAGTTGGGCAAATCTCCCTCTTCTATTCGATATGCTCGTAGGTATAGTGCCCTTGAATTCTGGAGTGCTATAGATTTACTCAGAATGTGAATGGAGGTTTCGTCCTCCTCCTCACATAATCTGCACTCACTATCTTCTACTACCCTCAGTTTACTAAGGTGTCCTTTGAGTCGGCAATGTGGCACCGTTGTAGCAATGTGTAGTTGTTATATAGGGTGATTTTATGCGGGAATTTTCCTCAATAATGGTTTTTTTAATCCTAATTTTCTTCCAAGTGCTTAATTAAATTGATAAATCAATGATTTCTTGTAAAAATGACACCACTATTGATTGTTTCTATGTAAATAGGATTGAAAATTCCGATGTGTTGTTATAGTCCATTATTATGTTATGTAGTTCATCAATTTTTTACAAATGTGACATTCCATGCAAGGAATTACAAGTTATAAAAGTAATTTTAGAAAACCAACTTCAAAATCGTGCAGATGGCCTTACATATTGAGATTTTTTATTTTCTCATAGATCATCCCTGAAAATACATAAAAAAATAAAGAATTTTATGATTTTCTCATGGATACCATTATTAGATCTTGACCAAATTTATAGAGGCCCACCCCTGAGGTACCCCGTCCTAACAAAAAAGAATCGTAGAAATCGGACAACGTAGTAAATAATTATATAAAAAAAAATATTCCAACGAATTGAGAACCTCCTCCTTTTTTGAAGTTGGTTACATATTGGTTACATATTTTATTTTTGAGATATACAAAGGGCGACTAGTTTCGGCCACTGAGGGCCATCGTCAGGGCTAAAAATGGGTGTTTTATAACAATATATGATTTACAAATAAATGTAACTTCTGTTTAATTACCTAACCCCTTTAATTTTGAATATAGGTAAGCACATTTGTTTGTAAATAATATATATTGTTATTAAACCCTGTTTTTAGACTTGATGATGACTAGATCTGAGCGATTTATCGATTTAGCGATTAATCAGTTATTTTCAGAAAATCGATTAATCGTGAAATTGAATATTTCCTAATAATCGGATAATCGATATATCGATATTATTTAATTGATTTTTAATCTTATATTAGATTGTTATTAATTTATCGATTATTAGTAAATATCTAATCCAATTGCATATTAATAAGAAATATTTGTATTTTACAAAACCAAATTCTCACAAGTTGTTACACACAAGTTCCACAACACATTTTTTTAATGAACAGAAAGATTTTTTTGTATTTAATTTAAAATCGATTAATCTATTATTTCGCTCATTCCTAATGATGACCCTCAGTGGACAAAACTAGTTGTCCTTTGTATATCTAAAAAAAATCCATTAGGGTCCACTTTAGAAAAATCATGGTATATGACAAAAATTATAAAAAATTACATTACATTTAACTCTTACTCAAAGATTTTTTCTCTATTCATAAATAACAGAAATATACGTTGAGGTAGAACAACGATCTCCTATAAAATACACCCCCCCCCCTCACAGATGCTCCGATTATGCCCAAAATCTGTTCAGCTTACCGCAGGATGGATTAAAGTATAGGTTTAAAATTTGGTGTTTTTCTCAAAACGGATTCATGTTGAGGTAGAAAAAAATTCATGATACTTGTTACAGAAAAGTAAAAAATACCTAAACACAAATCGTTTTTAAATTAGATCCTTTTTGCTTGATTAATATTTAATAATAATAATAATAATTAAAATAACAAATAAAAACAATATACAGACCCTTTTCAAGTGATTACTATTTAATGTTTTCACCTTTAGATAAAGTATCAGGTAATTTTTATCTCCCAAATAACTTAAAAAGTAATGTTTTCACTTCTGGATAAAAATAACCTCTGATAGATGACTTATCTTTGAGATTTCTAATAAAGTTCTTAACTGATGGATAAACAAGTAGCTACATGAGCACTTAACGTTAAAAACTACCGGATACCTGCCCTACAGATTATTGCTCTTGAAAAGACAGAACTTAATTATCTGTCAGATAGTAACTCTCAGATAATATATCCGTTAGTTATCTAAAGGTGAAAAGACCGATCCGTAATATAGTCCAATAATCAGTTTATAATCACTACAATTAGTTAGTTGATAGCCAATCATGTACCTAGAAATGACGCCTTTCTAATTATTGGGATTGGATCCTGGTCACGATTCTCGTCAATTATTGGGCAATGTTGCCATATATTAAATTAGTAACGTAACCCTTTGAAATTTAAATCACAGTCCAAGTGCTTGTTTATAATTTGAAGCCTAATCCAACCACAACAGTAAACAGATACTTTCTTCTATTTTGTAATTATCGTTCTTTATTTCAGCTTTTTGACTATGAACGTTTAGTAAATATACTTCTCTACTCCGTATATGGTATGGTACAAGAGAGCTTTGTACAAAGGATAGGCATTTATTTACTTAATTCTCTAGCTTGTCAGGTGGATGGGCATCAAAAAGTGAAACTTGGCGAATTGGGTGCAATAAATGTAAGAACATTTTCGATTTTCTACTTTGTAAAAACATATTTTCACATTATTTTTTTAGAGAATGATTTGGTTGATTAAAGAAAGGCTAGAACGCGGGCTTTGCGATGATGTCTTGGAGGTGGCATGGTCAACAATGTGGAATGTTACTGATGAAACACCATTGAATTGCAGAAAGTTTCTAGAACATAAAGGAATGCAACATTTTTTGCAATGTCTCGAAGTAAGTAATTCATATTCAATTTACACTTATTTTGGTTACGTAATTCGAAAAGATGACAAAAATTTACTATTTTACTCGGAGAATTTTTTTTTAATTTAAAAGGAACCTACTACAATTTGTGTTTATACAGGGTGTTTCGTAATGTAGTACTGTAAACTTAGAGACATTTAGCTCTAACCTAATAATATAATTTTCCAGTTTCCATTCTAACTATAGAGCGATAAAGTGAATTTCATAAATTTATAATTTTGCAAATATCTCAATGACTTAAAAATATGTACATGTTAGTAAATCGCCATGATCAATTAATACACTTTTGATAAATTATTATCGATCAAGGGTTGCTTTTTCAATATTGTACATATACATATAGGGTTGCAAATAAAAAACATATTTTTTATAACAAATACATTTTATAGTAAGTTTTGTTTACATTTCTTTTGTTAAATATATTTTTGCATTTTTAGAACTGAAAATCTCCAGAGATCAACCAAAAGTATCTTTTTTTTAATAAATTGCGTGACGATCAAAAATAGTTTGGCTCAAAATTATTTTCTTATCCCGAATTCTACGCCAATGAGTTATTGTAATTTATCGAAATAAAGTGTATTGACTGTAACTTCCCACCACCTGGTCGCTTCATGCCTTGCCTAAACCAGAGCATTAATTATCTCTCCCGCCCGCCCCTTTGTTATGTTCAAAGAAATTTATACTTTTTTTATATGCCTTTTTCCTTTAGTAGTGATCGTCTAGTTTAATAAGATTAGTCTGGTGCAAATTTGTGAATAAAATACATGATACAAAAAATTTCAGAGGTATGATACTCACAATCTACTATTAGTAATTTTTTTTATAAATGTCAAATAATAATAAGCATCTCACTTTTTATTACAGGTTTATAAGGGCAACTTACGATTAACCTACCATTGTCAATGTTGCTGTTAATTTTGAATTTTGTATAAGTCAAACAATAGTTTGCTGAAATGATTTTTGTTCTATTATTTTTACGAATGTTCTTACAATCTACGCCTGGCGCTTGTTTCGATTATTAACTATATTTAAACAGTAATTTCATACAAAAATTATATTTAAAGAAATCGGCCAAAAAATTGTAACTCTGCCTCCTGGACTATTATTTTTCTGCTATTATTTCACATTACTTTTTAACTTTAGAGTCGCTCAGACATCACTCTTATGATCCTTATTTTCTAAATTTATTGATTTATTTAATGTTGGCAAATATTTAACATAATTTTTTTCACCACAATTATACATTGTGTCCACTGTTATTATTTTATTTTTAAAAAATTCGATTTTTTATTTAAAAATTTGTATTTAGACTTTACGTTAGTTTATAAACAACTTTGTTTTAAAAAATTTTTGTAAAAAATAAATATTGGTACTTATCCCTTGAAGCATTTTCATACTTTTTTAATTTATTAACACCCTGTACATGTGATTTAAAATGTTCTTATCGTAAACTCATTTTCTCAACAAGCAGAACTTTTATGAATAATGAATAACAGTTTTTTTCCCTATTGGGTACCCCCATCTGCGGACACAGGGTATGTTGAATGGTATTTTTCCAACTTAACGCTGCAATTTTGTTACTTATTATGCCACTATCCTTTCTATTTCCTCTTGATGTAGACGTTCCTCTTATAATCGTATAGAAGTTGATTTTTGAAATTTGGCAAAAAAAGCAGTTTCTGCGTAATGGCATCTGATTCGTGAAGTTCAGAGCAGAGTCCTTCATACACATTTTCAACATAATTTTTGCATCATCAGAGAGATATTTAATAATGTGCTTACTTTTTACATGCTCTTCTTCCAAATCTTCTAATTGTAAATCTTATTCTATATCATTTATTGGTTCATCAACTTCTTGAGTATTATTGTTGCATAAATAATTTTAATTTAAATGTTAAAAATTAAGCACCCTCACTTCAGTTGGGGCAGCAAGGTTAACAACTCTAGTCTAGAGGCGAGTCACTGTATGATTATATAATTACCAAACACCTTTGTATTTTAAATAAACATTTTTAAACTCGCAGTCAAACACTAATAGATAGCACTTTATCCACAACTGGTATCTATAAATCAATTCTAAACTGGCAAATGTCTGATGACATTTCAATGTCAGACCACATCGGGTTAGCATTCAAAATAAACTTGATGTTGCCGACTTCCACGTTATCTCGGAACCCTAAGAAAACGGACAGGGCAATCTATGCACATTGTCTCCAAGAGGCTCTGAGAGAAGTGGAGGCCGAAACACCAATTAATAATAATGGTTTGGAAAAGTACTCGAACATTATCCAAAGCACAATAAACAATGCCTATAAGAAATTCTGGCCCCTGAGGCTGGTCCAACAGATCAGACGAGTTGGATCTCCTTAGGAAGATTGATAGGAAATATTTTAATAAGGCAAGAACCACAAAACTCGAAGAGGAGTGGGATACAAATCTCACCTCAGAGAATACAAAAAAAATCGTTAGACAAAAACAGAGAGATGCATAGAAATTCTACTGCGAAGAAACCGAAGATTTCTATCAGGCAGTGCGGCTTCAAAAAGCTCTTAAGAGGTCCACACCGCAGTACTGGTGCGCTAATCAAAGACACTTCCCTGACTCGGTCATCACAGACGTGGCCGATTGGGCAGAAGAAGAATACAATCCATTTGTCTACGATTAGAAAACTGCCAAACACACTGTGGACGATGACAAAATTAGATGGGCAATATCTAACATACTCTGAGAAAGAATGCAAGTAGCTCTCAAAATTATAGATTAGTGGTGCAAGGACCATTCACTGTCTATCAATCCTAAGAAGACAGAAAAGGATGAAAACGGAAATAAAAACTCCAGAGTTCCTAAACACAAAACTAAACATTGCAACAGAAGTAAAGTACCTCCTAGGTCTTACCTTTCACAGCAAGTTCAATTTAAGCATTTGTAGAAGGGGCATTTAAGATATTTAAAAGGGTGAATATATGTTTAATGCATTATTACTGATACAAAAATATGAAAGGGTAATATATAATTAATTTTTGCCTGAACTTTATTATCTGTAAAAAGGTTAGTAAATACAGATAATGCAGAATTATAATACTTATAAACGAGTATGGATAAATGGATTCTCTAAAAGCCCCATACATGTTAAATATTAAGTATTCTTGATTATTTTAGTAATAATAGCTTTATTTCCTAACACTTTGATCCATTTAGAGTACCATCAAAATAATGTTTTAATATTAATGAAATAATAATTAAAATAAAGTTTAAATAAATTTGGATACAATAAAAACAAGACCTACTATTATAAATAGTAATTCTCATAAAATAATAAATGAAATTAAGTGAAATGTTTACATATAAAATAACTACGAGCTACTTAAGATTACAATCATAATCTAAATAAATACAATTACTTAAGGACCATCCTGTATATTCATTTGTGGTTTTACTATAGCTAATTTTAAAATCACGCAAACTGAATATTTTCGATATATTTTCAGAGGTTTCCTGACAAGGAAGAGCTTCTCCGCAACATGATGGGTCTATTGGGCAACGTCGCCGAAGTCCAGGAACTTCGTCATTACCTCATCACCCCTGAGTACTTAACAGTATTTGCCAGGTTGTTGGATTCCGAGAGCGACGGTATTGAAGTTAGCTACAATGCGGCTGGCGTCATTTCACACATAGCTTCTGACGGTCCAGGCGTTTGGGCTGTTCAAGAACCATCTAGAACCTACGTATTAAATAAAATGGTTTCAGCGATCGAACGCTGGGATCTGAACTCGCCTAGGAATATTAATTATAGATCTTTCGAACCGATTTTATATCTTGTACAGGTGTTTCATACTCCAGAGTGTCAGCATTGGGCTGTATGGGCTTTAGCTAATCTAACAAAAGTATATCGTAAGTATTACATTTATATCAGCAAATAAATTAGGAAGTTAGAAAGACCTTCCGTCTTTCAAACTCCCTTTCTCTTAATACTGACTCCTTGATGTTTTTATACACTTCATTTCGGTAGATCAGACTTCTCAAATATTCCATAGTATCAAATAAAATAATAAATCAATGTCAATCTTTCAAAACTTTATTTTACAATCGAAATTAAAAAATAGTAAAAAATTGTCTGTTGTGGTCGATACCGACCTCTTCGGGGTCGACGATTTCCCAGGGGTCGACATAAACGAAAACTGATTTTGGGGGTCAACGTGGTCTAAAAATCGACCCCATAATAATTAAAACAAGTTCTTATTTGAAACATTCAAGGTACTGTATAAGTTGTGTTACGTGGACCAACTTGTTATAAGAATGACTAATATTTTAGTAGGAAGTATCATTGTTGTAGAATCCGTTTCACGAGAGAAGAACCCATCTGTAGTTGCAGTAGTATGCACGAACGTTTCGTCATAACCAGCGCCATATTATAAATTTACTATTTGACTTCTAATTAGTAGAGAAACTATTTTAAATTTAATGCTTAAATAGATATAAATATGGAAATGGTGTTATAGTCATGTTCACCAGTTTTAAGTCAAGAAATATTGAAATAAAAAAAAAGTGCAATTTGCAAATCCCTTATAGACTCTATTGAATATGTAATACACAAATGAATGATCACTTTCATGGGTTTTTATCGCATAAATCACTTAAATGATCAATAAATATGCTATTGAATTAGCGGGTGGAAATTGGAGGTAGGGATAAAAAAGCAACCCTTAGAGTTTTTTTAATTATATCTCGGAAACGATGCAAAATTCAGGTATAGTTAATACGAAATTTTTTGTAAATTACATCAAATTATTTATTTAATTTTTTTTTTAGAGAGGAATTATAAAAAAAATGAATTAAATAGAAAACAGAATTAAATAGCAAAAGATCCATTTTTTACTTTTTTGCGTATAATTGCTTTCTGAGCGAAGCAAAATTCGTGCAGTTAATATAAATTTTTTTGTAAAGAATACGATTATTTCACATCAAATTATTTATTTATTTTTTTTATGTAAAAATTATAAAAAAGAATTTAAAAAGCAAAAAAGACCATTTTTTTTACTTTTTATCTTATAATTGCTTTCTCAGTAGAGGTAGGTGCAGGCATTGCTTCATAGAAAAAAAAGTAGTATAAATTTTCTTTAAAATCGTGGGTTATAAACGTTTTTTGGATAAAAATGGACTAGCTGAGTCCTAAATATATCATTTAGGTAATAAAAAACAAAATAAGAACTTGTTTATTTTAATTTGGGAATGCTTGAAAAATAATTTTAACATATTGATTAAATAGTTTACTCAAATTACTGGCAAAAATCATTAAAATGTTGGAACTCAAATTCCATAATATGGCATAATATGTAACTTTACTATTTAGTTTTAAATTTTGAAAATCAGGGAAAAACATATAAATTTTTAAAACATTTCACATCTAAAAACTTGAACGAAATCTGCATTATACAATAGTAGTTAATCAAACAATAAGTGTAAGAACAATGAATACCAAATAGCTTAGTGATAATAAATGTTTGTTGTATTTCTTATTCAATTGACTGCTAGTTGCACATGTGGGAAATATGGATGATAAAGTGGCAACCGTAAGACATTATGCCCGCCCATGTTCTTTCATTAAACAGTCCAATTTATAGGAAACAGGAATACCTAACCGATTTTTTTACTAATTCATACAAAGCGGGTTTTGTCTTATTGGCATCATAGTCAACTTTGTGGGCCCTAAGCCCTTCTAACATTTTTGCTTTCCTAGATGCTGAAGTAATACTTTTTTCAGTTTTCATATTGTGGAGTAAGAAGCAATATCTACAACCAGAACGGATTTCTCAGGCATATTGGGCAATAGTTGCTCTTTAGCCCACTTCATAAAGTTTGAATGATTCATGTCATCATGATAGTCTCCACTTTTAGAATCTAAAAAAAAATAGAACAAATTTCATCAGAACCTCCCTCATGAAGGGTCCTTACTTCACCATTTCCGTTATAGTATTGGCGCCAATTGCTATTGACTATTTATTTTTATTCACTTTCTTGATGGAACCCCCCCCCCCATAGTTCTGGTAGAGACATACGTTATCGCTTTTCCATCACCATACCTAGTCGAAAAAGACTTCAATTTGATTACAAACATTCTGACATAACAAAGAAACCTTTTGAAAATCAACGAACGCGGAGATTTAAGGCTGCAACTCACCAATATTGAACCAGATTTAACTAGATTTTTATCACAATGAATTTTTTATTTTTACTTTGCGATTTCATTTTTTTTTTTTTTTAATAGGTAATTACCTACTTAAGTATACGTAATTTCTGTTAATCGTTATTAATTACACTTGATATTTACTGAATTTTATGTTTATTTATTATGTTAAATTTTGATGAGATAGTTTACTCACTTAACCAACCGCAAAGTTTTTAAATTGGTAAGTATTTTATAGCAATATGAAAAAACTAGAGATATGATTTTTAAAGTAATTTGGCTATGGGGGTCTGAGGTATCAGTTCATTTTGGAAAAGAGGTTTCTTACCCAAAATAGTTTGGGAATACCTGGGATAGTCTATCTAATTTTCTGACTTATGACCCTATTACTTTGAGTTTTACTTAAATATGCGGTAGGTAGGTTATCTATCCCATTGGAGATAACCTCATTATTTAAAGTTCTGTCCTAGGGTCATTTCATACTGTTTACTGTACTTGTACATTTTATTAGCACTATAACCACATTCATTTTTTTTATATTTAGTTTTAAGTGAGACTGATCAGTATGGCTGTGTTTGTATTAAAGCCTGCGGTTACATTTTTATACAAGAAACGTAGTGTTACTGGCATACTTCAAATCGAACTGACGCCCGTAATGTTTAACTTGGATACAGTAAATTTTGTAACTAAACGGACCACGCCTTCTTCCACTCAGAGCAAAACCGTCTGCCAGAAGCTGTTCATCAGACACTCGAGACTTGTGCTTTACCTTTTTAACTTCGTACATTGTTATGATTGCCTCTGTTCTTTAATTTGGTTGCAACAATTGAACGCGGATTTTGTTCTGCGGTTAAATGCAGATGTATATTTAATAATGACCGATGATTACATTTTAACTGCCTATTGCACAAGCCATGCCTAATGTTTTTAAATTTATATCATGCCCTCTTTGACCTATGATGAGTTTCGTATTTTTTCCAATCTTATTTAAATATATTTTTTCTAATTAATTTTGAGACTAAGGAAATATGTTTTTTTTTTATTAAATGATGTGCTTAAAGTTTTTAATGTAGACTTCCTAATTATGTGTATTTATTTTCAGCCGAAAAATATTGTACATTGGTCGAACGGGAAGGAGGCTTGCGATTACTTCAAAAACTAATTTTTCATTCGGATGTTCCGGCAAGGGTAAAGGACTTAGCTGGGGTAGTAATTGAGAATTGCAGAAATTTTCAAGCTTCCCTCGACGGATAAGTTTTAATATTTTTTAGAGACATTGAAATACTCATCAAAGCATCGTAAAATTTGTTTGTGATTTGGTATATTAAAAAAAATTCAAAACCATTCTTTACACATATAGCGGACTTATGTGGACTGTTATAATTTAATTTTTTTTTTCGCTGATTCATTTATTAGGACATATTGACTATTTATGTTTCAGAATAGAATAATGTGATTTTATTTATGCAATATAGATATATTTATTGACTGACGATTTTTAATTTTTAATTTCCATCTTTCCTATAGAATCCAATATTTCACATAAATAAGTAAATTAGTATGCAAGGTAGCCACACCATTTAATTGTAATTTGGTAAACCGTTAGTAACACAAAATTGGTTAAGTGGGGAAAAAGTTGAATATTTCAAAGCTCAATCTGAGGACGTTTTAAAAACCAAAATATCGGACCGTTTTCCGAGATATTATATTTATTTATTCCACTACAGTTAGTTTGTTTACAAAAATATACAAAAACTCAAGTTTTTCATAGTACATTTAATTTTGTCTCAAACGTTTCGTAAAGCAGGACCACAATCAACTTCTTTATAACCTGTATTTTATAGTTAAAAAACGTTTGGATTAGTAAATATATATAAGTTTTAGAAATAATAAATATTAAATACATTCACACCAAAATTTTAATCTCCGAGCAATCTTCATATTATATTTGATTTTGTGAATAGAGAACCTTTCAAAAATATTGTGTGAAAATTTGAGATGAATCGGAGCAAAACTAACGAAGATACAGCGCAGCGGTTTGAGTAATCGCGCCTCATACATGACTCAGCGCATCAGAAAGTACCTGTCTGGCCCGAGTGCGGTATTGTTACCTGGCAATCTATATAATCCGTTACCTCACCTCCTACCTTTCTTTATAGAAATTTCAACACAAGTACAAATGTGTTTATACCTGTACTGTATATAATTTAGTGTAGCATTGGCCTGGCAGGTTATTTTGCTTTACTAACCTCCAGGCAAGACATGGGAATCAGTAGTGGATCAAGCGCTTATGAATGAGGATTTGCCGTAGGCAGGAGCAAAAAAGATGCTTTAGACATCACGTAGCTACACCTGGCACATTAGAAGAGTTGCGAAGAAGAATCATTAACACATGTCGCAAAGTGACACCGCAAATGCTTCAAAATGGGCGGCAACGGTTTGAAGATAACTTGTATCACTGTATGCAAGTTGGCGGGCAGCACTTCGAGCAATTACTTGACTAATACGGCAAGCATTGAATCGCTCTTTGAATTTTCCGTCACATATTCAAGGCTCCATATTTTTCTAAACGAATGGCTCGATTTTCAAAAACTCGGCAGCGTTGTTTATAGAATGACAAGACTCTTTTAATGAGGTATCACTTAACCCCCTTTCCAATTTGCAAAAAATTGGAGGATGACACCCCTACTGAAGGGGTTGAAGGTTCACTATGTTTTTTGCGTCAAAATGTGTCCCCTTAATTGACAAACAAACTTGATGTGTTTTTGGATATCGCTGAAATGTTTTTTCCATGGCTCACTCTCTATGTATTATGATATAGATACATGACTCAAAACACAATCGTATTTGTTCTTTTGCTGTTGTACAATTACTGAGTTACTTTATTGTTTCACAACTTTTCATGTTTTAAAAATATTATAATCATTACAAAATAATAAGTTTTGTCTTATTAGTATAAAATTTATCGTTTGTTTCTTTTTATTTTTTGAATTTCATGAACTATTTATATTTTTCTGTAGTGTTTGTAATTCAGTTTTAAATAATTTAATTATAGAAAACAATTACTTTTATTCTTTTCAAAGTCAAGTAAAAACAAAATCTAAAGAATTTTACTTAGGGTAACAAGCTTATTTTGTTGGGCAGTCATTGTGTATTTATATGATCAGTGTGAATCGTCGCATAAAAAGGAAAATATTTCTAGTGAAGCTTCGTGTGAATAAATATATTACCTATGAGGCACATTCTCATCACGTATCAATTAAAGTGTTGAAAATAAAAAAATCTGATGTGTCCAACACATGACTTTCCTATTTAGTTATTATTATAATCATTTCACGTCAGGCCGAAATAAAATTTAAGTTTCAAATTTAATGTTTTTTTCTTTATCCATTTTTGAGTTTTCTTCAAATTTCGAAATTTACACATTTTCTCAAATATCTTGAATACGGTCCATTTTAGAGAAATTATGTAAAGAATAAAAATTATATTACAAACAACTTTTATTTGAACAATTTTACATTTTGTTAAATTTCTCGAATACGGACTATTTTTGGAAAATTTTGTATAAGACAAAAATTATACATAATAATATAAGAAGTAACTTTTATTTGAAAAATGTTCTTCCCCAAACGTAAATAACAGACATATTCCATAAAATATAAAAATGACCACCTATAAAGTACCCCCCCCCCCCCCAGATGTTTCTGGAATAAAGCTCAAGTTTAAAATTTGGTGTTTTTCTGTGTATCGGTTCATGAGTTATGGTGGATACAGACACACAAGACATTATCGTCAAAACGGATTCGGGGGACCTCAAAACGTAAAAATCCGTCGAAAACTCGAGGTCGAAAAAAATCATGCTAATTTCCTATTAATGGAGTTAAAATAAATTTTAACTAATATTGGGGTCTATTCTGTAACAATTCCTTTATATTTTAACGGCCGTTAAAATATTGGCGGCCTTTAAAAGTATTTTCGTATTCGTTAATTTACTTCTGTCAAATATGAAGGAATTGTTACAGAATAGACCCCATTGAATTAATATTTTAAAGCGTCGCCCCTGTAACCGGTCCTGTCTTTAAATCATTCAAAATAAAAAAAAAATTCAAACGAACGTGTCCACGTTGTCATTATGTTGTCATTGGTCATTGTTGATTTGACGTAAGTGAATGATAACAATTACCTAACCTATCTTTTAAAAATATATAACGGGAAAAACCAAAAACAGATGTTAGTGATGGACTGGGTTTAATTTAGTTTTTTTATAGGAATTTAGTTCTTTTATGAAACATGACTCGGCATTATATACAAAAAGTGACTTACTGTGTGCTGTTCCTTTTTACATTAATACATTTTTCCAATAACACCTCATTAAGCATTTTTGAACAGAAAAAGTACAAAAAGTTATCTGAAAATATAGGACTGTATTCATTAAATGATGATGTCGAAATTTTAACTGCTGAAAACTTCAAAAACGAACTTTATAATAACAAAAGAGCTTGGGTTGTCGAATTTTATAACAGTTGGTGTGGTTTTTGTCAGCGATTTGCTCCTTCTTGGAAAGCCTTTGCCACAGATGTAAAAGGATGGAAAAGTGTTGTTGGGATTGGAGTTATGGATTGTGCTAATGATGAAAATACTCCAATTTGTAGAGAATTTGAAATTATGGCTTATCCTACCATCAAATATTTCTATGAAAATTACAAAGAAGGTCCCAAAAATCTAGGAGAAAAATTTTCGGTTGGATCACATGCTCATGAACACAGGCAAAAAGTATTGGAAGTAATTCAAAAAGAACAAACTGAAGGAAGAGGTAAACATTTTCCTGATATTCTTCCATATGTTGATAGTGATTTAAAAGAATTATTCAAGTCAGGTACTGAAAACACATTTTTAATCATACAAAAAGAAGATGATCACATTGGTTCAGAAGTTATAATGGATTTACACAAAATAAAAAACATAAGATTTAGTTTTAGTAATAATACAGAATTGATAAATAAGTTCGGAATTAAAGATTTCCCAGCCTTAATTTTTGTAGAAAAAGATGAAACCTTTCAAATTATAAAAACTGAAGGTAAAAGGGAAGCCTATAGAACAGCAATTGAAAAATATGTTCATCCAAAGAAAGTAATTTCCGACTATAACATTGTTAAACTAGATCATCATGATAACACTAATGAACCTAGTATGAATGAATTTTTAGAAACTAGGGAAAAACAAGCCTTAAAAGAACGAATCAAGAAAATGGGAGATGTAGTGTTTCAAATGGATCTAGAAGCAGCCCTCAGGTATTCTCTCAGACATGAAGTAGCTACAGTAAAGGAAATAACCAAAGAGAAACTAACGGCTTTGAAAATTTATTTAAATGTTCTATCGAAATATTTTCCATTTGGCAGAAATGGTAGAATATTTTTACAAGATTTAAAAGATTTTGTATGGTACAAAACAACTGTAAAAGGTGACGATATTGCTAAGATTCTTATGAATGCAGAAAAAGAAGATCAGTTAGTATTTTCATCACCACATCACTGGTTAGGATGTAAAGGTAGTTCAAATATATACAGGGGCTATCCCTGTGGCCTGTGGAAAATGTTCCATTATCTCACTGTCAATGCAGCTGATTACAATGAAGGAGTGAAAGGTTCCAATTATAAAATAGTTTTAGAAGCAATGCATGGTTACATCAAACATTTCTTTGGTTGTACAGATTGTAGTCAACATTTTCAAGATATGGCAAAAAAGAGGGAACTTTCTAAAGTAACTTCTTGGGATGATTCCATTTTGTGGCTTTGGATGGCTCACAATGAGGTCAATAAAAGGTTATCAGGGGACCAAACTGAAGATCCAGAATACCCCAAATATCAATTCCCATCCAAAAATAGTTGTCCAAGATGTTATGACAAAGATGATAGTTGGAATGTTGGAGAAGTACTTTATTACCTTAAACATATGTATAGTAATATTAATATTAGATATATTGGTTCAGATACGAGAATTTTACATTTAGGGCTTGATGGATCTCATAATTATAGTACTGAGTCTGGGTTATTTAAAACTCTTGATACAACTATGTGTTTCATACTATATGTAGCTTCCTTTATGTTAATTTTAGTAGTAATTTATATGTTTTTGAAGAGAGGATACAGGAAAAAAGTATATCACCATGATTTACTAGGAAAAGTTTAGTTTGAACAGTTTTAGCTCAATCAGTGTCTTAATTTATTCATGACTTAAGATATGCAAAATGGTATAAAGCGATAAACAGCAAGGTTGTTTATTATCTTTATAAATATTTTAAAGTTTCATTGCACTAGATTTATCCTTAATATTTTAAAAGTGCTGTTAATTTCAAATATTAAGTAAACATTTTTTTAATATTCATTATTTCTTAATTATTTTTATTTTTTTAGAAAATAAATTATAATTCATGTTGTGGCATTTGATAGGATTTTCACAAATTTGGAAAATCTTGTAAACATATTCAAAATTCAAATAATGATTACAGTTTGGAAATTTTCATGATGCACGTTATGTGAAATACTTAGGTATAGCATTATTTCTACTAGTAATGAGTCATTCGTTTAACTTTATTACTACGTTTTAGCCCTAGAGGTTCTTAATTTTAAGTTTAATAATTAATATGACAATTTGTTTATTGGTAAATATTGATCTTAAATTTATGTTGTATGGTATTTAAGATAATTAAAAAATATTTCTTATGTAATTGAAACTTTTATATATTATATAAGTACTGGGTTGGTTGATTTGGGATCATCAGTTAAAATATATTTTATTTTTTTTAATATTTTATCTTGTACTAGAGGGGGATTTAAAAACCTTTTTGGACATCCGATATACATGTAATTGTTAATTTTAATAGTAGTTTGTGCAACAAGAGTAGATATGACAATCCACTACAGTATATTTTTTCAACAACATTTTCAAAATTAATTTAAAAGTTATTAAGATAAAATAACCATTTTAAAGATAATTAACACAAAAATTTGAATGTATATGTCTGAAAAATAAAAACATATATCTTCAGTCAGGATTTGAACAGCTTTTGAAACTTTTAAGGCTTAAAATTTAGAAATTGAATTCAGAGGAGGCTCGTGGCCTAGTCCATGATGAGGCTAATACAAATATATTTCTATTAGAATACAAAAATCACAAATATATGTTTGTATTAAGTGTATCTAAGCCTTCTCTATACCTGTACAAATATCAAAAAGTACATTACATGTCTATAAAATTAATGTGACAAATATTTTTTAGTAGTTATTAAGAATTATATCTTAAGTCATGTAATATTATTTGTTTGACTGTCTCAAGAAATTACCAAAAATAAAAAGTATTTGAGAGATTTAATGATTTTTTGGAACTGAACAAGGTATATTATAGATTTTATTTTGATGTATGTCACCTATATTTTTTAAATTTTATTTTGATGTTTGCCCACCTATATTTTTTAAATTTTATTTTGTTTTTATTGTTTACAAATTTCTCTATTATTGTAGTTGTTAATAATGTTTTTAATATATTTCTGTTAACTTTATTAATAAAGGCGTGAAAAGGGTCATAGAGTTATAAATACATTGTGGAAACAACTTTAGAAATTGAAGATAAAAAGTTCATTTTATAAATTCATTTAAAATATACTGTGTATATTTTCAATTTAATAGTTTCCATACTGTCCTCACTTATTCTTTATCTCAAGTGTGTTTTGACTGGACTGCCCTTTTTGCCCAAAAAATAAATCAGCATTTAAGTGTAAAATTTTCCAATCCAAAACAAACAACAAATTTGCATTTCTGATTAATTGTGATGATTTATACATTTAATAATCTTATTGACTGAAATAATTTATATACTGATAAAATTGGTTGTAATGATATATTCAAGGTGTAAAAAAATTAATATATATGTTGTTAATTATTTACTTGTAGTTTTACTGGTTCTTGGTACCTACTTCAAAGTAGGCGTACAATTTTGATAAAAAAAGTTGATAACATTGTTAAGGTTTTAAGTAATTTTTAATTACCGAAATTAAATTAAAATTATTAAATGGGTGGTGTCCAGAGATAACAGAGATATAAGCAGTTATTGATAAAATATAATATTAACGATGCCAACATTAATTCGCCAATCGATACATTCTATTTCTAGACGCGGGGCGAGGCGACGAAATGTGAGAAGTAACAGGGACAGAGAGAAGAACTTTACGCAAAGACAACTTATTTTTATCAATGAATAACTGTGTGAGCCGCTGGGCGCTTATACTACACAACGTAAATTTCCATGCCGGTGTGAGCCCTGTTGCCACTTCCAATCTAACATCACTAGGTTTTGGAATTTATTGAAAATTATTACATCTAATTTAATGAAATTATATCTAATTTAATTAAATATTAAATAATTTAAAAATTTAATATAACTAATATTCAAAAATTTTTGGGTTCAGTTGCAATAAAATAGGTTGAATTATTTTAGCTTTTTAAATATATGTAAATAATTTTGTAAACAAAACGAGAATAATGAAATAGGCATAGGTGTAGATTGTAGATTAAAACTTATTTTGACTTTGCCTCCCACTTCGGTGTCACAAGCTGAATTTTTCAGGGATGAAAGTACATGATAAGCTAACCCTTATTCCGGAGGTAATACAAAATTAGACTGTGCAAAAGGGCATTATCATAAAAAATCGAGTTATTGATAGCACCGTATAGAAAAAAAAATGCTTATTTTTTTCTAATGCTCAATTAGGTATTTGTAGGAAGTATATGTTATTATAATTATTTAAAAAAATCACATTAGCCCTTATGGTCGAAAAAAAATTTAAAGGTCAATATCTCGGTTTCAACCGTCTACAAATTTGTATAGAAAAATCTTCTTTTAGAAATATACCTCTCATTTGACGAAAAACGAAGGCCTAAATGAAAAAAAACTATTCTTCATAAAAGTTTCGCCTATGTATTGACAAGGTAACAGTGCTTTCCCCAACACGTTCACTGCCAAAAATATAGCAATAAACAATTAGTGATGTCATGGTTTTACCAAAAAGCAAACATTGAAGGCAGAGCCTCTCGACTCACTATGCATTTCTCTCAGTGTTGAAATGTATGCTATCAGTTTGACTCTCTTATATTATTTTATACAGGGATTATTGATTTATCCACTATGAATAATAGGGTGTATTAATTACTTCAAGATTTTTTTTTATTTTAGGAGGAAAATGAACAGTAAGAAATTATAAACTATTTATTGAAGGTATAAATACAGTATATATAAGTATCGATTATAAACAGTAAGGCTATTGCTTTGCAAAATACAATAAATTCCCAATATAAATAAATTATAATAATAATAATTGGAAGGAAGTATATAAAGCATAAATTAATAATATTAAAATTTATAAGTACAAGACTTTCAAACTAATCAGAATCAGATTCACCACACGAATCAACATTTTCCAAAATATTAGCGGCTGTGGTCAAACTATTTCTGCAGTTTTTCTATGCCATACAGGTGCAGGAACCGATACAGCAAATATTTTTTTTCCTGCATTTGCAAATATTATTGTGAAAATTATCGGTGTATAGTATATTTTTGCATTTGCATGATGTAAGTTCTGTTATGTCTGGTGGCAGGTCGGGAAGAGTCTTAAAAGTGGGTATCAGACTTCCATCTTGATCTACTTTCCATCCATACTCTTCAACATTAGGAAGCTGCATCTGGCTTTAAAGAGCTTAGCCAAATATTTAGCTGGTAAAAACATCTTAAACAATGTAGTCTTAGGGCGTCTTCAGTCGGTGGCAATTTAGCGATGGTTTTTGAAGAGGCCATTAATCCCCTCAAAATGTTAATGGAAGTAACATTGGCAGTTTTTGAATAAATTTTTATGAAAATTTTATACAAAATCTTATAACTTACCCAAATATATTCAGCTGCAACAGAATGAATGTAGATATAATAAAAATGCAAAAATGTCTATATTTCTTCCCAATTTATTAGGTAATTTAATATATAACACATACACTTATTAATTCTTTAGTAAAAAGAGATAACAAAGACACATTGCCCATTGGAACATAACGAAAAGTTTTATAATAAAAAAATGAAAAAATCCTACCATATCAATAATGTGATACATCAGCAGGCACGTAGAGAGAAACAGAGCTATTCTACGTTTGAAGGTGAAGAGAAAAACACGCTGAGGAGAGTCGATGAAATTGGCGGTGAGAATTAATTACAGCGTAAACCTATGACATCTCTCATCGTTTATTGTTATATATCTTTGTTAATTCAAAAGCAAAAAATATGGTGTTTACTCTGTTACCTTGTCAACACATAAGGAAAATTTTCATAAAGATTTTTTTTCTTTTAGGCCTTCGTTTTTTGTTAAATGAGTGGTATATTTAAAAAAGACGACTTTTTAACCAAATTTTTGAAGGGCTGAAACCGAGATATTTACGTTTATATTTTTTTTCGGCCGTAAGGACTAATGCAAATGATTTTTTTAAAATAAGTATAAACAATTGCTCCCTACAAAGATTTTATTGTGCATTGGACCAAAAAATGAGTATTGTTTTCTCTATTAGGTGGTATCAATATTTTGATTTTTGATGATAGTGCCCTTCTGCACAGTCTAATTTTGTATTACCTCCAGAATAAGGGTTACCTTTCATCTGTGAAAAATTCAGCTTGTGACAAAAGGGTGGGAGGTAAATCGTTTTCTAGAGCGAATATTTTAATACATACACTCTATTAATATGACAACAGCGGATATTATACCCGTCTGTGTCCCTTAGAATATGTCTTATTCAGGGCCGCACGATATTTGTTAGTAGTTACATCTCCTGGTTATCTCTGGTAGTGTCTCTTGGAAGAACATCTTCATCCATATATAATTTACTATCTATTTATTATACATGGTATATAATAATAATTGGTTAATCTGTAAACTCTCCTGAAATGCTGTAAAATATTTGTTTTTAACAAAGAAAACATAAAAATAAAAATTGAGGCAAACTAGGCAAATTGTTGCCTAAAATAGCCAGATGTGTTGCGGCTTTGTCACGAAATAGCGTCTATTAAAAGTACGTCAGTCAAAACAGCGCCCAAACGAAATAGGGCCAAACATTTTTTACATAAAATTATAAAAAAAACTAATTCACATAACCTGTAAAGTGACTAAATTAGGTGATTTGTTGCATAATTGGGATATGATAAAATAAACATAATTAACACCGACTTAAAGTAAAAGTGGGCAAGGTGGTCAGAAGTAGGCCATTTTAATCGAACGACTTGAGTGGAAGAGCGATGCGATGTGTGGTCTTCACCACAGCAATAATGACAATAAGTGGAGGCAAAAATTGGCGGAAATATATCTCCTCTACTAGTAGGGCTGGGGAATTGGCATTCAATCACATATAGTAAATATGACCAAGTGGTCCCAATGACGGGTATCAAAGGAAAAGCGAGGGTCAAATCAATATAACATACGCACTATTTTGATCAGGAGCTATATTATTGATCAGGCGCTCAAACAATAACGCTAATTCGTGACAAAGCCTGTTTATTTATACACGATTGATGGGTCTGCTGGTTTTAATATGAAGATTTATTCTACTTATGCAAATAATAAGTAAATTATATTAATTGTGCCTTGAGTCATAATATCATTCGTAAACTGTTCTTCAGAACTTCCTTAGTCAAGTCTTATGTTCATAATTTTATTTTCTGCAATGCTGAGATCTTTGTAATTAATGGAGTGCAACTTAATTAAGTAAATGACTAATACAAAGGGTTTATTAACATTAGTAGGTTTATTGATTGGATTTGTTAGTCATTTTTTTGAAAGTTTACTAAAACTCCAAAATTCCATCGCACTTGTCCAAATTAGTGTTTTCATACTTTATTCTAATCAAAATTATTAAGTCACTCAGAAAGTACTATTCATTGAAACCACCACATGGCAACCATTTTCAGCATGTAAAGCCGATATCATCAGTCCTAAAAGTGATCCTCAATAATACAACTAGTGATTCACAAAAAAAGTATAAAGTAGGCCATGGCCGACAAAGATTATATCCTTTAAAAATTGTAAATGCCGACTATTGCAAATCAGCATTTTTTTGAGAAATCGCCCATTTATTGCTGCTCTCAACTCAGTTTTTTCTGTTTACAAGATCGAATGAGGCGTTCACCCCGTACTACCATATTTAATCTATTAAAAGCTAATTCTACAGAATGGTAAAGATTCCTCCAAAATAGCGACATCTCTGTTAGGTCAGTGTTACTGAACAATCCTCGTAATGTACACTAGAAAGATTATGAAGATCAGAAGGAAGGCAATACATTATACAGTAAGGACGTAAATTGTGCCTCCCTCTTAACTTCTAAATGGGAGAAGATATAGACACAAAAAACGAGGTAAAATTGGAGAGATAATATGATATTTTTGTCATAACGAGATGCACTTTACTTGAGACGTTAGATAGAGTGCGTTACTATGTTTAAATTTTCTAATGGGAAGTAGGGTGATGTAATACCTCATTTGAAAGATATTTTCATTATCTTTACTTCCATGCAAACAGATTTATATTTTTAAGGGATCGCATTTCACAATTGTGTGCCGCAATAACCCCAGAAATGCCAGACAATGTTAGAAGAGAATTTTCTAATACGCCTTTCAATTGCCAAAAAGTTAAGGGAGAACATTAATACGTTAAGTGATTTTTAGATCACCTTTGATATTCTTAATTTATTTAGTAATATTAGCAATAAACAATAATACAAGGGGTAATCAAAAATGTAACGTACTTCATTAATTTATTTAATGTAATTTCTGTAAAAACAAAAAAAAACTGTTTGCATAACTATAACATAACTATAATGAAAATATCTTTCAAATGATGTATTACATGACTCTACTTTCCATTACAAAATGTATCTTACGTTTCAAGTAAAGTGCCTCTCTGTTTTTGTTTTATGTATCTATCTTCTTCCTTTTAGAAGTTAAAGAGGGGACACATTTACGTATATGACATTCAATCCGGCGAAAAATACGCTGCCGCTTTTGATAAACTTTCTGTCACAAGCGTACCCTTAATATAATGAGAAAGATCTGCGTTATAAGTTTCTCTTAAGTATATTCTAATTTATTTTTGATGGGCCTATCCCTTAAAATAAATATGATCTAATAATTGGCATAAGGAAAATAAAACCCTTGTCTGCGTTTGAATCACATTTAATAAAATAATTATACATAATATATGAGAAATATATTTCGGGGAATACAAAAAATAGAGGTATTTCAGTTTTATACACTTCTTAACTCCAATATCTCTTTCAAATATCAGACTAACAAAAATTCATTAAAATAGCATTTTTTTTAAGTTTCCAGTGCCTCAAACTACAAAACATTGCACATTGCTGGTTAAATAAGAAACAGACGTTCTAAAATGCAAAAACAAGCAACAATTACAAAACACCGGGTTTTCTTAACAATTAAAAATAAAATAAGTTATTTAAACTTCCATCATAATAATTAAAAAAATAAAAATGGTCACATATTTAACATATATATTCCAATAGAGCAACAAAAACGAAAGACAAGTGTAAATAAAAGTAAACCCAGTATTTTTTACTTATAAAAAATAAATGCACCACACCTATAATTACTAAGATTCTGTTTCCTATAAAAGCCAATATTTATTCATTTTGATAAAATAAAAACATAAAAATAAAGCAACATCAATTAATAACATTCAAAAACGTATTTTTTTTTTAAATATATGGAGTATAAAGTATTGGCTAGCTTTAGTAAGACTTTAACAAGACTCGAGTAATAGTTATATAATTGTTTAAAGACACTGACATGGTGAATCAGATTTTCCTTCCCTCGTATTAACCTGCGTGGACAGACTGAAAAAGAAATACATAATTCAGTAAAAAACAAAATGTTTCCTTAAAAAAGTAATTGGTTTAAATTTTTTGTATCGCATTATCTTCTAATAAAGTGACTAATAGATTATTTAAAAATTGCCAATGTTATACTGATATAATAAGGGTGATGATCTAATTACGTCTGATTTATAGATAACAAAAGTTGAACAAAGTTTGCCTTTATTAGGAAACGTGCACAAAAAGACAACAGAGATGCTGTTTTCTGTTCTAGAGCAACTATGCATCTTACAATATAAGACCATTTAATAATAAGACATCATCACAAACTCTTAGACGAGGGTCTCTCTAATATTGATGTGATTCACAACAAGTATTTGCTTTGAAAAGTTTCTAGTCCACATTTTTTGGAGCAATATGTTTTATTGTTAAACAGGTATAAATAAATTCACCTTTATCAGTTTTAAACTAACATTTTGAGAACTAAGTGAATTGTGGGAAACATGGAACTACAAAAGAGCTACGATTTGTTATGATCTCTTATGATTTAGAAGTTGGCCTGAGCCAAGAACAAAGTGCCGAAATACTTGTGTTGGCATTTGGAGGCGAGGTACCACTTCGAGCTATTGTATATAAATTAAATTATTTTCGGATAAGTCATAGTAGCGACGAAAAGCATGAAAGAAGACTATACACAGCGGTAACTCCAGAAAACGTAGCTGCTGCCAGAAGATTGATCTCAGAAGACAATCGATGCACTTACCAAATTACAAAGACATAGGATCCGCGGCTATTCACAAAATCCTACATAAATAATTGCACGTCAGAAAAATTGTTTTTCGATGGGTGCTCCATTATGTAACTTTGTAGTAAAAAGCCGAGCGTGTACGAATTAGCAAGGAAAATCTGCAAATGCTAAATAATGGTGGTCATTGAATTATTTCAAAAATTGTGACAGGTGACAAAATTTATATCCCTTTTTACGACGTTCCAACACGTCAGGAAAGTAGAGTATGCGTCTTTGAAAATGACCCACTTCCAACAACCGTCCAAAGACAACGTGCAATGAAGAAAGTCATGTATGCAGTTTTCTTCAGAAGTACGTGAAAGCCGTCAAGTTAGTGGGACAGAGGACAGTCACAGCCGCTTGGTACACCCAAGTTTGCATTCCTGCTCTTCTTCAAGATCTGTCAGTAAGAGGATTTATGCTACATCACGATAATACGTCCTTTCGTAAGGCGGAAGCAACGTTACCATTCTTGCAGGAAAACAACATCAAATTTGTTGAACATCCATTCTACTCGCCGGATCTTGTGGTGTGTGAATTTTGGTTATTTTTTAATTTGAAAAAAAAAAAAAAAAAAAAAAAAAAAAGAATTTACGAGGTGGTCGTTTTAATTCAGAAGCAGAAATCGATTGTGCCCTTCACATGTGTTTTATCTCCATTCCTGTTAACGAGTGGAGATGTGCCTTTGATAAGTTGTAAATTCGACTTCAAAAGTACATTGATCCTGGAGGGGAGTACTTTGAACACATGCGAATTTTCTTTCCCTATAGTTTTTGAGAATCTCATTCATATCAGCGTGACCCTCTTATGTCAGTAATATTGTTAATCTTGGAATCAAAAGAAATGTTTTAATTTTTGTTGATGTATCCACTAGACTTTCCCACAATTAAAGCGGGGAAACTTTAAGTAATGTAATAAAAAATATAAATACCCATTTAAAATAATTTCTTAATATTGTAACGTGCAAAGCCTTTTATTTGTCACACTCTATTTTTATTACAATAAGGCTAGAGGACGGCGTCTTATTGTGCCCAGTAAAACACTATGGTTAAAAAAAATAAATCCAGAAACATTTTTAAAAGAAATCTAAAAACTCAATTTAAAACTAACTATAAAGACAGATCCAAAATTAAATCCAAATTGATTCAAAAAGTAATTACAAAAAATAGTCTAGTAGTACGTTCAAAAATATAGGTACCCAGGAAAAGTTAAAATATAACCGTAATAAATTAAAGGATAATATTGTTATAAATATGGGTGAGCAAAATAATCGATTAATCAATTTGTTTTTAAACCGATAATTTATTATTTTCGATTAAGTAATTTTTTAAGATTCATCGATTATTTTAGATTAATAGATTAGAATATTTTCGAACCATCGGATAATTGATTAATCGATTATTTATTTTGATAATCGCCCAGTCCTAGTCATAAACCAAACTTGGCCAAGATGTTGGCTGAGTGAGCCCTTGAACGAAAATCAAAGTTCTGGTATAATTCGAGTGGTTCCAGCGTTACACTCGGATTTAAGGATGGATATTAACAAATCCGTAAATATACACTGAGTCAGAGCATTGTAAATGGACGGATTTGTTATTGTCCATCTCTAAATTCCCGTTTAATTTTCGTTAAAAAAGCATCTTGGCCAAGTACAGTCTATAAAAGTGGACCAGAAAACTGTACACGTATTAGGCGCAATTCAATATCAATCAAAATGGTAAAAAATGGCCGACGATTGCAAACATGTCTCAAAGTCTTAGTCACACTAAATTTATTAAAAAAATGGGAAAATTTAATATGAATCCTGTCTGCGAGTTGGTGGCCTCTGATACACTCATACCCATTTGATACCACCACAAATAATTTTCTCTTGTAACCTCTGTCTTCAGAATTCCTTACCCTTCTTTATACTATAGTATCCCTTTTCCCAATGCTCCACTTTTGTAAACTGAAAAACCAAGTAAGTTTTTGTTCGTTTAAAAATAAATAATTTTTTATCGCTATTTGTATTTGGCCTGTAGTAACTCTTTTGTAGATCCCTTTTGTTTCATTTGTTTCTTTTTAGGTTTGATGTCTCCGTGGTCGAAATTAGTAGCTAAAAAAAAACTTGTTTTACTCATTTTTTCAATACTGTGACTAAGACTTGAGAAATATTTTGTTGTATTTAATTAATATTCATTAATATATCCATATTAAATGTATTTTTATTACACATCTTTTTAGATTTAAACACTACAAATTAATAAATCAACAAAGGATTCTTTAGAATTTTCAAATTAACGAACAATGGTTCTAAAACTCACTAATTTGCCATGATTTATCAAAAACTAATGAAAAATTTAGCTTTATTTTTGCAAATTATCTGCAATTTTGGCTATTCTTGTTTAGTTCGGAAGGTGGGCTCCTTTTACTCTTTTCATTCCATAACTAACTTCAGTCCATGATAAATGAATGTAATTCAGTAATGTGAAGTTAAATATGGATTGTTTAAATTGGTCAGACATTTTTCAAAGTGACTGATGTTGATATGCATTTTGCATTATTTTATATAAAAAGTCGGCGATCTACAAAATGCCTAGGATTATTTAATAAGCCTGCGACATATCGATATAGCAATCAAACCATGTGACTTTTTAACTGTCAATATGGTGCCATTGGCGTTTGCGCGCTTCGTGCTTTCACAAAATAGACGAACAACGTGCTTGGTTTATTTGTAAACAGGGATTAAAAGTTTCTATTTGTTTAAATTGTTTCCTGTTATATTTTGGAAGTTTCATTGTTTTTGTTAGGCATTTTGATCACTTTTGAACTAATCGTTAGTTTCTTGGAAGAATTAGACTGCCTATTTACGGTAATTTAATATGCAAAGTTCATATTTAAGACAATGATTGCTAAAAAAACTCAGACATTGGTCAGAGGTAAATATGAAGATTTTTTAAACTTATTTTATTAATTTTTCTCAGTTATAGCAGGGATAGAAATAATTTTTGCAGTTCTCCCACTTCATACATAGAAATTGACAGTTTTGCGGCGGAGCTAACCGAAGTGGACGCGATACATTGGCGTACAAAATTATTTTATAGATGTTAATAACAATTTCGGGTAAATAGTTTAATAAATTGTGAATAGCTGTTTGAATTTTGTAGAATTATGCTTTGGGATATTATAATACTTCTTTAATAATTATTTCCAGTCCATAAATACATGCGATTGTCCGGTTCCGGCGGTAACAATTTAAAATTACTTATTCTATGAAATGATACTGGCAGATAAACATTACCGCTATATTCTCGAAGTAGTCCGACAAGGTTTGACGTTTATCCCCTATATACCTACCAAAAGCCATTAAAACTTCTGTCCCTGCTATAATCATCAAACTATTAAGCTTGAAATTACTATAAAATTATAATTTGTTTATTTAATGAAGCTGATATTGATTAAAGATTTTGACACTTTTACATTTGTAACTACTGATTTGGACTACACTGTTAATGGCATTTCACCTGTCACATACTCTGATATATTTTCCTATATTGTTTTAACTCACAGTTTCTACACACATAAGCAGATGAAAGCCTACAAACCCTTGATGCTCATAAATATTTTTCTGCAGATTTTGTCCTAAAAGTAGGTACAAGTGCTTTAAATGATTTTCATGTCATGGTATGTTATCACTAAAGAGGGTTCAGTTTCAAGTGCCCACTGTACATGAATGACAAGTAAAACTGAAGTTTGTAACCACGTTGGTGTTTAGCTCTTCGCTGCTGAATATGCAAACCGAAATAAAGATGCAGTTTCATATAGTGATATAGCTGTTTTGTGGACAATGCCATCACTGTTCACAGCAGTGCCCATCGTACCAATAGCAGAAATGGACTTTGGTACGGTGGTTTTAGTACAACCAAAGATCATTATAACCACAATGTCCAAAGAAGGTGTAATACATTTATTAAAAAGAGTTGAAATTTTGAATCGTATTGCTAGTGTTATAATGATAGGGGAACCATTTGCAAGCAAACTACAGACATTTTCATATGTGGCCTCGTGGCATTTAAATCACCAATCATCAGTCACAGAAAATGATAATGGAAAGGTTTAACATATCAAAGGAAAAACAAAAAGCGAGGTTCCATTTTTTTGATAGATTGTTGGCATGAAGAACTTGACAGTGAGCGATGTTTTACTTTCATAGTCAACTTGCAGTAAAAAAGAAACTGAACGGCTTATGAATCCA